TAGTTTCCAGGTAGCCTTCTGGTAAGTGCTCAATCCATTCTTCTGATCCCCTGACCAGTCCAGGTCGAACCACCCACAGAAATGGTTGTTCACTGTTGGCTAGCCCCCAGGCCATCTCTACAAGTTCACGTTCTTCCATGGTTGCTACGCTTCCCAAGCTAACATAGATGACTGAGTTGGTAGCTTGCTCATCGAGCCATGTTATGCAATCGGAATCCTCTGTTAATAAGCTAGTCGATGCAGTTGGGGCCATCCCGTGGAGCGGACCTATTGAGAAACAGTGCTTTCCTTCGTTCTGCTGCTGAAATTGTGCTAGCGAATCATGCTCAAGATAGTCGACGCTGTTCCAGAGCACAGCTGAGGAAGTTTTTGTTTTGCTGACGTGGCCTAACAGATTTAGTAGGTCTTTAAGATCTCCAAAATAGTTGGAAGCTGGTAAGTCTTTAAACCTGATGGAATGAAGGCCTGGCACTAGCTCCTGCGATATAGATTCTGCCATATACGATATTGTACATCAGCTACTATTGCTGTCTTTTTATTGTTGTGTTTGTTTACTGGTTAGATGATACTGATAATCAATTCAGAAACTCTTCACCACAATTTTTTTGCTTCATTTATAATTGACATCTGACAGTTCCTAATTTGAAGTAGATTGCAAATCATATTGAACTATACATTGGTGATCATGCTTCCATTTTTCTTTTCTTCTTGCAAGATTTTCACAATATTCTGTGATGATTTCTACTATAGGTGGTTCTATTGCTTATATATGCACACACACTCTCTTCTATATCCATCCATCCATCCATCTATCTATCTATCTATATCTATATCTATCTATACTCCTTGTAAAAGTATGGATAGTTTAGGCAAGTGGAGTGTAACTAACTTGGAGTGTAAGCATTATTTTGTCTTAGTTTTTGCTATGATCAAAGTACCCTTTTATGCAGTAATTCGAGCCATTTCATTTCGATTACCAAATGAATCACTAAGGTGAGTCATTAGAATTAAAACTGAACCATTACCAATTGATTTAATAATGTGAGCAATTAAGATAGAAATCCCTCTCATAGTTGTATATACTTTATATAAATATGAAAACTGAAATAGCACTACCAAAATATTTATAACCCATTATTATCATCAACTTAAAAAAAAAAAAAGAAAAACTGACTAAAAGTTGAATACTAATCATAAAGTCACGTAAACAAAACAATGAAACAAACTAAAGTCTGAAAAGATAGCCCAATTCGGGTTAATTGTAGATTAAAGTTCCGAGCCTATATCGGATTTGTATATAATAAATTCCAAATTGGGCTCACATTTGATTCGGCATAATATTCAGACCCAAATTCAGTCAAACTCAATGAAAAGTTAAGCACATCAGATTTTTTCTAAGGTCTAAATTGGACTGACCCGACTCTATTGACCGTCTTAGTTGAGTAGTTCGAAAAAAGAAGACATTTTGGGTTCTAACACTCCTACTTATACTTTAAAAGGAATTACAAAAAAACATAAGAGTACTTTTAATGGAAAAAAAAAATAGAGAGTAGAATGAGAAGATCGTATATGGAAAGTCAAGCTTGGAATCAATTTGAGCAGACAAAATCCATTCAGCAACCAATTCCCACGCCATATCTAATGGAGGAGAAAAAGAAGAAGGAAAAAAAAAAGTAAAAACATATACTACTCTCTTGTGTATGTAGTTTTATTATAGCTGAACTTCTGCTTAATTTAGCATGCAGAAATAGGTGCACAATGGCATTGTAGGTAAACTATAGAAAGCCATTTCGCTACAATTTAAAGGAAAAAAGACCCCCTAAGTAGGATTAGATTAGGAATATTGAATATTAAAAATAACCAAAGAGAAAGAAGTAGACAAAAGTAGAACTCACAATCTGTAGCTAACAATGGAAATAGTAATTACGGTATGTGAGAATCAAGGAAAGCAAATGACAAGCACATGATAATTTTAGAAATTACCACAATCACCAAATTTTAAATCACAAGCATTTGGGATTATTGTCACATAATTTACACTACTCTTTATATGCTTATCATTCACCAGAGTTTCTAACCATGATTTTGTTTCATTATTTCTGAATACATACAATCAATTTCTACAAGTCCCAGTAAAAAAAAATCTAACACAAATAAATCTCTCTCGTTGCAGCAGTTGGTATGGTTCATTAATTGAATAACAATGGAAGTAGTATAATGAAAGATGGACACAGTCAAAGAAGACACAAAAAGTTGCCATTGCAAACCCAACAATACAATCCGAATCACAAGGTTGACAACTTTTGTGTACAATTATTATTCGATTACAAAATTTGCAGTTAATTATAAAGTATATAAGTGAAAACTTGTCCCTTTTAAAAAGTCTAAAAAGTCAAATTTCATACATAAAATGGCGATTTTATTTACTTTTAAAGAGAGGCCCAATCTAGCGTAGGAGATCGGAAAATGAGTTGGTATGCTTCACTATCCAAAAAAGGAAAAAAAAAAAATTGTTCAACAAACAACGCACTATGGCAAAATGTTCTAGAAAAAACTCAAAATCACAGCCTTATGGTACAGGCTAGACCCCAAGGTATAGCAGTTTCATTTTTTCCCTACAACTGTTATTTGATGGCAAATTCTGAGGTCAATTATGCAAATTGTGTAAAATTTCTCTCTTTTAATAGAAAAAAAACATAAAATTGCTAATTTATTAACTATTTCAAAAGAGATCCAATCTAATGAAGGAGATTGGAAAGGGAGTTGGTATGCATCACTATTTGAAGAAGAAAAGAAATTATTCAACCAACAATATATGCAGTAATTAAAGTAAAGCATGGTAGGCCAAAAACCTTCAAATCCACAGCACATGTGCTTTCCACCAAACAATATTGAGTTGGTGATTGAGAATATTACATTTTGTAATGACAAAATCACGTGCAAAGCATGTGAAGTATTAGTCGTGTGTATGTATATAGGGCCTATTTGGCAAATAAGGTTTTTGTCAAGTTTGTCTACTACAAATTATTTAACACTTTTAACTACAACAATCTCAAAAAACTTCTCAAAATTTTTAAACTTTACACTTCAAAATATCCAAAAATTTATACACTTCAAAAATTTTTCCTACGACTTCTATAGTGAATTACAATAAAATTTTAGACAAACACTCAAAAAACTCATTTGCCAAATCGGGCCAGTAGAGTTTGGAAGTAAGTACCTTTAAGCGGAATGCAGTCTTCTAGGGGAAGGTTTAGAATTGCACAGTAAGCAATGAAAGAAGAGGCACTGCTGGTGCGCAGTATAATGCTTGGAAGCTTCATATTGGAAGCCACTGCTTCTGCACAGTACATGACTGTGTCATATATGATGCAGTTTACTCGAGATTGAGGCTTTTGCTTGATTAGATTTGTCAAACTTTCCTGTAGTGGTGCTTCACATTTGGTGTTGATAATTGACACTTGAGATATACGATCTTTATTGGCTATATGATGTTCAGATAGGTTTTCTGCTACGGGTAAAAAGTTGAAATCAGGGTGATCAAAAGCTTTAGGAGACTTGAACTTGGCATGCGCAATGGTGATAGAGAAGCCCTTGGAGTGAAGGATACTTGCAAGCTGAAGTGTTGGGGTCATGTGCCCCTGTAATGGGTATGGGACTAGAACCAAATGGCCATGTCCTTGTGCTTCTTGGATTTCCATCTCTTTCTTTGTGTGTGCATGTGTTTTTAGCCTTTTAAGAATGAGAATAGATACCTTGGTCTTTATAACCCCTCTCCAGACGGCTGGACCTGAAAGCATGAGGTCATGATTCGCCATTGCAGGTCGCGGTTGCGTTGCGGTCACAATTGTTTCATATTTGTTGTGGTATATTGGTTGAATATCAAGTGATACGCACATTATAGTACATAAAAATTTTCAAAAAAATCCAAAAAATTACTAAAAATGGAAAATACTATAAAAAATAAAATATGGAAAAAAAATATTTGAGTCGACTCCGAATTGATTGATATTTTGGCCGATTCCGTGCATTATGGATTCGAATCGGCCAAGTCATAGCGAGTCGCCGTGAATATGAAATTATCCACGATTCGGGGATCGGTATCGTACTGATCCTCTCCATTTCGATTATGACTTGACCGAGTGGCATCGTATTGCGTCGAGATGGCTAACCATGCATGAGGTAAACACTAAAACACAAGCAGAGAACATCACGGGATTTGTTTGAAATTGTAAGTATAAGAATCTAATACGTGTTTGAATTTGTCCTATCCAAGATATTATAAAGCACTGTTTTAGCTCCGAATGCCGTCAAAGGGATTTATTGTATCAGGCATCATTTGTGGAGTGGTGTCCACATGCCAATTGTCAGACCTGTACGAAAATTAGCAAGAAAAAAACAGAATGCTGGCTTTAGAAAATTAAAAGTTTTGCCATTTTGTGTCATCGTACATGAAGGCTTCATGCTTCTGTATTTTAATTTGATGTTAGATTCCCATATATTACTCAGGCTGAATGATTAAACAGAAGACTTTGGTGACTACGAAGCATATCTTCATTGTCGGTGTGATGTCTCCAGGGAAGGGCCCGCACAGCATTTGTTCAACTCATAGTTTCACCAAAAACAGGCAGAAATATACAAAATTGCTTGTTTGCTTGTCTGGTTAGTATACTTTTTTTGAGATTGGCATTACACAAGTATTTGGAACTTGAATTGGGGCATCGTTGTCAACCAAGCAAAAAACAACATCAGGCCTTACCTTCGGACCATTTTTTTTCTCTTATTTCTTGGACCAATTTTGGGACTTCTCAGCCTGCTCTTTCTGAGGCTTGACTATTTGAGGAAAATTACGATATTAAATGATATTTTAACCAAAAAAAACTGTGTTCGCAAATATTAAAAAAATATGTGAGAATTAATTCAATCCTGGACCTAACAGAAGATCGTAGGAAATATAAACAGGATGTCTTTTGCAGTACCAACAAAAACTACATCAAAACTTAAGGAAATAATACAAAAATTTCACACAATTTTCCATATTTGGGAAATAGATTCGTAAGAAGTATGAATGAATAATTTCATATTGACCATCTTATAGACTCAATATTCAAATTTAACTTCTGTAACCATCATGGTCCTCTACTTTCTGATGCTTTCCTTTTGCCTACATCCTCCGGCGGTCGGAAGCAGGTAAAAAGATTATTAGTCCAGAACTAAATTTTGGCGACAACATCCAAAAGTAAGTGCATCTTTTTCGTATATAGGAGACGATACCAGCGCCTAGCTTGTAACTAGCTACATTCAGGAAAGAGTATTGCTGTCTCTTTCAAGAGTTTCGAGGATGTCAACACATTTCCTCAATGAAAACTTCGCCTCTTCACTCTTTTCTATTTCGGACAGATGAAGAAGCTCATCCTTAAACCCTACTTCTGGTGGATGCACTGGATGAGTATCTCGGTACATTGTTAACAAATCCAGGAGGCACTCAGATGCTGCTACATGAACCTGAATTTAATCCAGAAGGATAAGCTACTCATCGGATAGGAAGACGATGCATAGGGAACCAAAAAATCACCAAAATACAATGAAAACAGGCAGGAGTGCTGATGCATAAGGAATCAAACAATCACCAATACACGATGAAAACAGATATGTGCATATGAGTGCTTAAAATTAGACATGTAACTTCAGAAAGTACAAATATGGAACTAGTATTTGAATGTCATGGACGGGATTTACAACAAAGTCCAATTAGGAAAAAGCCTCCAGTTTCTGTTGGCATTGCATGATTGTAACAATGGTGTAAATCAAAATATCTACGGCGTAAGGAGGAAGGACTGACATATACGTTTTAGAAAGACAGAATATAGATTCAACTTAGACAGGAATTCTTAACATGGATATAAAAAAAAATGTAAACTAAATGTTCAAAAAATATCAAGGTCCTTGTTGAGGGACTTGATCCTGAGATTTACTAAGACGGGGACTTTCAAATCAAACTACTGGAGTACCCAAGAAGTCTTCTCTAACAGGAAAGACATTGTTGAGATGATCGAAGTAGGAAAAAGGAAGAAAGCAAAAACAACAAAAAAGTACAAAGAGATATATCAGAAAACTACTGAAAAATGTTGAAGAGATGAGAAAACTGACTATAAACTTTACTCCAGACTCAGTGAAGCAAATAAAAGAACAGGGGATACCTGGCCAATCTTGATTGTCCTTATACATTCAACCACCCCTGGAGACACCTTATGGAATAACTGGAAGAAGCCAGATGGTTAGCCGATGTCTTACTCAGACACATGTTAATCTAAGGGATGTGGAATTACTCAGATATATTGAATTACCTCATGAAAGAAAGCAGTTGAGCTGGCAGGTAAAGAAGGATCTTCAGAGTTGAATGGAATGTCACCAAGCCTCGTGGAAAGCTCTTTTAATGATGAAAACACTGACATTTTAACTGCCAAAGGACAATTTTATTAGTGGAGATGAACCATAATTAATTTATAAAGGACTTAAAATGTGAAAAGTGTAATACCGGTCCATGGGAATTTAGGTGTGAGAGAGATTGAAAACACATCTATCAACTTTGTCTTCTGTTCAACAATATCAGTGACCCGTGCCACATGAATGAGTGATGTTATACAATTCACTATATTACCATGTACAGCAGAAAATTTTTCCAGCTCAGCCTCTTCTGCAACCAATATATCATAGCTCAATCATCTTCAGGTCAGATATCTTTTGCATTGAGGAATTTAAAAGCAATGTACAAAAGTCACACAGTTTTTTTCAATTTTCTGTATGTGCATATTATTAATAACTTTGGTGTATATATATGCAAATCCTAGCATCATAATTTATGCACAGGTATCTGCAGTATCAATGAATGAGTACATTAATGCGTATTCTAATAGTCCACAGACAAAATACTCTATTAGAACCAACATATGTTCCAAATGACATTCCCCACACAAGATTCCATTCAGATATCAATTTATTCTTTAATTATGGGATTGAGTGATCTCTTGTTCCCCATGTAGATATGGCTGATTAGAATTGAAGTTCCATGCAAAAAAAGCATAGGAAAAGGCAACTTTTGACTGACTTTCCATGAAGAAATTAATATCAGGCAATTCAAGACATTACTGCTTTGTGCTATAAAAGTCCGTAAACATTGTCAGCCTATAAATCTTCTTCTCCTGAAAAGCTCAAAGGAAAGTGGAGAAAAGAGATTCAAAAACCTATACAAGTAAGGAAACCATCACGCGGCAATAAGGAAAGTTCCCACACATTCACTTTTTGATGTAAAAGAAGATTCACAGTATGTAGACACAATAGTTTCCAAAGACACTTGGCTAATTGGTAGACCACTTTTAAATTTATTTTAAAAAAATGAATACAAAATGAAAAAACAAATTATTATCAGTGGAAAAGTGACACCGATAGGGCTACAAACCCCCCAAAATTGAAGAAATGACTGGAAATTACATGCATATTCCCTCACATCATGGATCTTATAGAAGGAATTAATCAATCATCGGATACCATAGTTCTCAGTAAACTTTTCCTACATGGACCAGATAATACTGTGATTATCCTGAACACGTGGTGGAAACAATTTGCAATAGTTGAGAGTTGGCAGAACATGAACTAACATGCACTTGTTGAGACAGATACTAAGAAGGGAACTTAGGGTTAGTCTCAGTTTAGCCTGTGAAATATAGATAGGAACATCAAAATTTCATTAATTCTTCGCACCAAGTCCATTTTCTTTTCACCATCGCTCTTTTGGATGGACTATTGTGCAATGCACATGGCTCACCATTGAGGACACTCAAATTCCAATTTCATAATAAAAGAACACTTGTTGCACTAGATATTTGGAACAATATAAAAGCCCATCCAGAGTTCTTCAATCAGTGGCTATAAACATATTTTTGAATGTTACCTACACATTTAAGACAGTATAACTTAACCAAAAATCATCACATCATCAGCTGATTTGGTGGGCAGCTCTGAAGTCCACACGTTTGCCAAATGTGGGGTTCTTTAAATATAAATTCTTAAACACATTAATTGAAGTCTATGGGTCATACGCATGTAGTCAGCCAATGCCTAACACTAGCAGAATTATTTGTGACCAATATCAGCTGAACAAATGCAGGTTATTAGCCCACAACCACATTGGCAAGAAGCTACCATGCCAGGAAAAATAAATTAAAAAAGAAAGAAAGAAGGAAGAAGAATTAAGGAAACACACTTTCAGGCTAAGGTATTGAACAGTAAAGCAGCTACGTAGCTTGGCAGCGGACAAAGTTATAATTGTCTGACAGGAGTAAGCTCTGGAAGGCTAGTTGAAGACATATATTTAGTACTAATATCAAAAATTGCATGGCACATGACTGTTTCCAGTATAATCTATTGCCATATTGAACAAATTTAACTGGAATAGTTGACAAAATGTCAAGTTTTTCTCCTCCTGTTTTACCAGTCCCTTCATCTTTATTACCTGAGTTATCGGGTTCACCAGATTCCACCACTCGATTATCTCGTCCTAATCTTCAAGTTTATTCTCGTCGTTCCATGGTTGAGAAAGCTCCTGATATGCTACGCACTTCACCAATTAACTCTCAATCTTCAGATCCAGGTATGACGCCCTCTTGTGAGTCAGATCTTCCTATTGCTTTACGTAAAGGTAAGAGACATTGTACTTCTCATCCTATTTCTAATTTTGTCTCTTATTCTCGTCTCTCTCTGTCATATTCTTCTTTTGTTGCATCTCTTGATTCGGTATCCATTCCTAAGTCTATTACCCATGCTCTCAATGATCCTGGTTGGAGGTTAGCTATGCAGGAAGAGATGCTTGCTTTGGAGAAAAATGGTACTTGGGATCTTGTCCCTCGTCCTTCAGGTAAGCCTGTTGTTGGTTGTAAATGGGTGTACACTATAAAGGTGCAGCCTAATGGTTCTATTGATAGATTGAAGGCTCGTCTGGTAGCTCGAGGATTTACTCAGGTGTATGGAGTAGACTACTTAGAAACATTTTCTCCTGTTGCAAAGATTACCTCGGTTCGCCTTCTTATCTCTTTGGCAGCAACTTACAATTGGCCATTGCATCAGTTGGATGTGAAAAATGCATTTCTGCATGGAGATTTGGAAGAAGAGGTATATATGGAACAACCTCCTGGATTTGTTGTTCAGGGGGAGAATTCGAAGTTGGTTTGTTGTTTGAAAAAATCCTTATATGGATTGAAACAGTCTCCAAGGGCTTGGTTTGGCCGGTTTAGTAGTGTGGTCATGGAGTTCGGTCTGACGAGATGTGGAGTAGACCACTCTGTATTTTATGGGCATTCTAATGCTGGTAAAATTTTATTAGTTGTTTATGTGGATGATATTGTGATTACAGGTGATGATGTTGTGGGGATCCAGAAACTTAAATCCAATCTGCAGGCAAACTTTCAGACAAAGGATTTAGGTCATTTACAGTATTTTCTGGGTATTGAGGTAGCTCGGTCTAAATATGGGATTTATTTATGTCAAAGGAAATATGTACTCGATATGTTGAGTGAAGTTGGAATGTTAGGTTGCCGACCTGTGGATACTCCTATGGATCCCAATGTGAAATTAGCAAGAGATCAAGGAGCATTACTTGATGATCCTAAGCAATATCGAAAACTTGTGGGTAAGTTAAATTATCTCACTGTAACGAGACCTGACATTTCGTTTGCAGTAAGTGTTGTGAGTCAATTTCTTGATACTCCTCGTACTAATCATTGGAATGCTGTTATACGGATTCTCAGGTATCTTAAGGGTGCTCCTGGAAAAGGGTTGCTGTATCAAAATCATGGACACACTGATATTGAAGGATATAGTGATGCAGATTGGGCCGGTTCTGCCTCAGATCGAAGATCGACCACAGGATATTGTGTGTTTGTTGGTGGTAATTTAGTGTCGTGGAAGAGTAAGAAGCAAACAGTTGTCTCCAGATCAAGTGCAGAATCTGAATACCGTGCTATGGCTCACACTGTGTGTGAGTTGGTTTGGTTGAAAAGCATGTTAGTTGAAATTGGGTTTGAGTATAAACAGCCTATGAATTTAGTGTGTGATAATCAGGCGGCTGTCCATATTGCGTCTAATCCAGTGTTTCATGAAAGGACAAAACATATTGAAGTTGATTGTCATTTCATTCGAGAGAAATTACTTGATGGAATCATCAAGACATCTCATGTACCGTCTGCAGATCAATTGGCTGATTTGTTTACCAAGAGTTTAGGGGGCTCTAGGGTGAAATACCTTTGTAACAAGTTGGGTGCTTATGATATATATGCTCCAACTTGAGGGGGAGTGTTAGGAGAATATTAGTATTCTTGTAGATAATATATTAGTAAGGGTATTCTTGTAAATAGTCCGTTAGGTTTGTACTCCTATAAATATTAGTTGGTCACTCATAATACGGTGACTAGATGTTTTCCTCCCAAGATACCTGTTTACAGTTACGATCACAGATGAAAGTGAGTCTAAACAAAATATACAAGAAACCATTCATTCAACTTACCCTCAAAGCTACTCAACTGACTAACAACTTATTATACTTCAAATAAACAATCAGGAAGGCCTAATAAATCAGAAACGTAAAAATAAGTAGAGAACTCCTTGCAAACTAAAGCACAAAATTAGTTTAGACTTCATAAAACATTCATATTTTCTTTCTTTTTTTTTCCCAACAAAGAGAAGCTATTCATCAGTTTGGTTTTCCTCATAATGCATACCAAGTATAACCTTCAATAGCGTTTACTAGTTGCCAAACTAAACACAGACAGGATCTACAATTTCTGGCACATTTACCATAAATATTTGGGAAAAGATAAGCATTTGACTGCACCAAATTTCAGACATATTAACTGTTAAATCCAAACATATGTTCTAATACTGCTTACTTGGGACAAAATGATTACATTCAGAATGGCAAAAATGATTTGACTTAAAAAAAATCTGCAATACCTGTTTTGGTCCCAGTTGTGGAAGGAATCTGTTCTGTCTTGCTACTGGTATCCATGTTACACATCTCAAATAGTGATGGAAACACAATGTTGAAGAAGTCTGGGTTCCTGAATGCTTTTATAATCTGAAGACAAAACAAGTTAAAGAGAAACAATGAGTGTGTTTGGATAGAGATAAAAAAAAATAATTTGCCTCACAAATCCCAATCACCTTTTTATCTCACATATATCACATCACAAAAAATGCTACAGTAATTATCTCAAATAAATCATCCAAATAAACTCTTATCGGATAGTTAGAAGGATACAATTCACGGCCAATACAAAGCCTTCAATAACTTCTGAATAATCACAAAGCATGTTCCTTAATCATAGCCACTAACTATATAAGGGGAAGTGTCTACCATAAAATGGTGATTATGGAATAAGGGATAAATAACATTTATTTAGTCCTCAATCATTTGGATGTGAACTGATTTGATCCTAATGTTTTCATGTAAAATGAATTTAGCCCGTTATGTTTTCGGTTTCAACCAATTTGCTTAAGTTCTCGAAAACACTAGTTTAGTCCGTCAAATTAAAATTTTGACCAATTAAGTAGAGCACATTGACAGAACTTTATATTATTCTAGTGGATACAGAATAAAAATGCATATTAAATGCTATTTTAAGATTGTAAGCACAAGAAACCTAATTTCATCCAACTCAATCAAAGATATTTCCCCAAAATCATCAACACATAGTGCATTTTCTCAAACAACCTCTATTGGTAACTGTTGAAAACTTAAGGGTCAAAAACGATATTCATGGAAGCACAACAAACGAAATTAGTCCACACCCAAATGATTGTGGCTCAAATGGTTAGTAAGAGCTAGAAGTTTTAAGAGTAATGAGGACATTATTGTGGTTAGTAGTTGTTGTCCCCTCTTACCAGCTCCCCGACATATACTATGAAAAACAGGTTGAATTTCATCCTAGATCTAACCTTTTCCACGTCACTTAGTGTCTCCCTGTCTCCTTGCTAACAATGACCAAAAAAAAAAGGCTGATGAAACAAGTTGCAGAAACCATTAGAACTACAGAAAAGCCATGGCTTCAGGCTTCAATATGTTAACCCTTAACATACAATTGCTACAAAGATCACAGGGTATATATCAGTCTTAATTTAGTGCCAAACAAATTGATTTAGTTTTCATATCACTTTCAGCCAAATTTTTCTCATACACCTACTCAGGCATTTGGTGTAGGTTTCGAAAAAATACTTATGAGTCTATAAAAAAAACTAGCTAATTACAATATATGGGATCAGAATCGTATGAAGCCCTTATGATTTCTTTCACTCTTGCTCTTCACAACTTCCATTGACTGCAGAAGCTTCAATGGACACTCATATAACCCTAGTATGAAGGTCCAGGAGGAGTAATTCCTGGAAAAACTCTCCTTTAATATTCTTAGCAAGGACTAATGATACAGGTACTTCTTAAGCCCATAACTAGATCATCCAAGCAACCCCGGAATGCCTAAAACTCTGTCCAAGAGCTTTTTATACTGTTCCATCTGAGATTGTTCTGTAGAATGCAAACAAGCTAGCTCACTCAATCTCCTAGTAGTGTATGCTAAGCATCCATGAAAAACCATCTTGAAAGACACATTTCCATCCACTTTAAGGGAAAACCCTAGAAAGACTAAGCCAAACTAGTTTCGAATCCACTAGCATGAAGTTATTAAGGAGAAGGAAATTGATTACGGCCATAAAACAGCAGCTAGGATTATTTACCTGCTCAAGAGAGGAAAAGGCTGCCTCACGATATTTCTTGATTTTCTTCATGCAGGCTGACAAAATAAGGCTCAGAATGGCATTTGGTGCATCAGGATCTGTGGCAGAAATTGCTGCATGGCATGATGTGCAGAGAGCAGACAAAGCATGTAATATTACATCCTTTCCCTGTCATACACCAACATACAATTAAGAAATCATTCTGAAAAACTTATTCACAGAAAACTCGACTGCAATCTATTTAGAAATAATAACCATGATTCTTAAAATTAATACAAATACCTTCTGAACAAGGTCAACAGCTAAAGAACCAAAGAACCAAACCATACATCTTGTATAGAAAAGCACATTATCTTCAACACAGGTTATACTGTTGTACAATCACAACCATTACCATATAAAGATCTCAAAAGGTGAAGCTCTGGACAAAGATAAACAATCTGTTTGTTGACATACAAGACTGAGCTAAGTACCTTACCTATAAAAATGAAGAGCAAGAGATAGCAAGCCAACACCAAGTACAATTAACAAAAACCAACAGAAAACTGTGAGAAACAGAGTAAAGGTCAATATATGGCCAAGCCATTCAGGAGAAGAACAAGTTCCAAGGCATCAGAGATCAGAGAGTTTACAGGGGACAATGATAGAACTGATTTTTAAAGATAAAATCAGACCATAAGCAATGAAATGACTGAATTCTGACTTGACTTGTGAACTCCTAGAGCACCAAATAAATTATTCAGTTTGGATCATATCCTTCAACAATTGGACATACTTTGGCAAGTAGAGAATTCCTATGCAAACACTAGCTATTATGCAACACAATCTTAGCAGATTTCATGCAGTTTCACTTATTTGAAAAACCATATACCTCCCACAAACGGCCAGGAACTTCTTTCAAGAGACATGTGAGCAACACAGGATGATGAGGAGATAATGATTCACCCAGCACTTCGCTTAGCCTAGTAATTGCCTGTGCTGCCTGCTTAGACAAATTATTCCACAGAATTCACAAGTCAAATAACAGAGAAACATACTGATTGGGCTAGCGCCGGGGGAGGGGGGGGGGAGGGGGAGGAGGAGGAGGGGGAAACAAAGATGAGATAGGGAGGAGGAATGCATGGAAACAGAAAACGTACTTTTCTTTTACTTGCCCATGAGGATGCCATAATCCCCTCACTAATTAGATTAACTATTTCTCCCAAGTATAATTGGAGACTTATTCGTTCACTGCCCATGTTTTCTTCCCACAGTTCCTCATATAGATTAGATACAGTCTTGTCATCCTCAAATCTGCATAAGCAATAATCTGGTCATCACACTTGACGGTATCTAATAAGCTAGACATATACCTAGGAAGAATAATGTTTAAGTGAAGGAAACCGTTTTAGCAAATTGCCACATTATGCACCATGACCACACAATTCTTGTTGGAAGAGGGCTCACTGGAGTATCAAAACAGCCATATAACTCATTTCCTTTCCTTTTTTCGGGGAAGGGAAGAAGCCAGGTGCAGGGTTTTAGGCTTTTGGCTAAAGAGAACCTAAACTAAAGATCATGGTGCAGGAATTGCAGGCACATATGGAGAAAGCAAACACCTATTATAACAGCTAGATCAAAATAACACATATCACCACCCTCTCTATTACAAAGGTGTTTGCATAAATAAGAAGGTTAAATAAAAAAAAAAGCCATATTTACATGCCCAACTGACACAAAATGAAGAATGACGACAGCAAACAGGAAGAGATACTTTACTTTACATGCAAGGCATGAATCTGAATATTGTAATTGAAAGTGAGATTGCGACTTAACCTTGAAACAAAAATAACTGGTACAATTACAACTTTGTAGCCACTCAATGCATCATTGGCCAAAGAAGAATAGCTTTTTAAAAGAATTGCCCCAGAAATTTGATCATTCCTGTCGCCAGCATGCAGAGCTGCTGTGTCTTCAATTACCTTCTCTGCTTGAGAAGGAGCTGCAAACTTTAAGATTGTTGCACAAGCATTTGCAAAGGCACGTTTAGATGCTGTGCTCTTCTCCTCCTTAACAACTGGAAATAGAAGCTTCAGTAACATGCTTGTGAATGGTTTGATACCAAGTCCAACTTTTTGAACTAACAAGCTTATAAAATTGGCAACCCCCACCCTGTGAACATGACCCAAAAATTTAAAAATAAAAAAGGATCAATCAGGACACAGTTTCATGTACGGTCACAATTAAGCAAACTAACTTTTACCATGTCTAGCACATTTGAGCATGTGCTACTTTGCAAATCCAACTTAACAGATTAACAACATTTTTGGGAATAACCAAACAGCAACGGAGAAAATGTAAGTTCATGCTGCAGGGTGGTGTGTGAAAGGAAATTTCTTTACAAAATAGCACAAGTTATTTAAAAACAGACCAGTAACAAATTAATGAAGCAGAGAATAGATAATTGAAGAAAATCAGTGAAAGACTGATGACACATAACAGTTATAAGCAGCTTTCACATTAACCCTTAAGTTTAAGGGAACACAAGCGTATACCTAGTGTTTAAGCCAACACCAGAACGAACCAGCTGAGCAAGGCGAGGTATCAATAATTCCAGTGATTGTGTATCAACAACCTCTATGCAGAAGTCCAGAGTTTCCCACATTGGAGAACCTTTGGCTATTGAAATACGCAAGTTTTCAAGCTTATCAGCCTGAATTCCAACATTTGCTGCATGCAGCTGAGGGGAGAAAACTTTATTGTATGCTCCAGACAAACTTAAACAGTAATGTCAAAAGCAGAAATATTCGAGACAGGCATCATCTCTGTAGAATACAAAATTTTAAGAATAGTTCAGGAAGCTCTATATTATAACAAACCTCAACATAATTTAGCCCTTGATCTTCGAGGCTGGACAAACTTTCCAGCATGCAGCAAACAAGGTCAGGTAAATGTGGACGAATTGCAACACCAGAACCCTACAAAATGCACAAATAGATAACTCAACGCAGTTTAATCAACATAAATGTCTTAAGGATTCCACATCAATTAATTAAAAAATCATACAATAGTTATTATCAGCACGCTAAACCACAAGCAGATGTGAAAAAAACACTCTCACAAGGAACAGATCAACATAAGCTGGTCCCCAAAATCAACTCCATATCTTTCACATGAAAATACACCTAAAAAAAAAGGGAGCAACTAAAGAACACTGCAGAACAACAGATATTACCTTGATTGATATGAAAGAACTTAACTATTCAAATACCTTGATCTAATCTAAAAAGGGACAAGAAAATAAGAAAGGAATTGGAGTTTAAATTTCCTGCAACAAATTAAAATTTACAGTGCTTAGACTCAAGTCTAAAAAATATGTTGTATAGTTGGAGCATAATCAAGTTTGAAGATATGCTATGCAAAAGTTAATTGCAAAATTCATTCCAATGTCAAAAAACAATGGAAAGAAGCAGACATCAGGAAGCAGTCAATAAGATCACCTAATGAAACAAGATGATGCTTATATCATAAAAGCATCTAAGACAGAAACTAAAGTATGTATAGATAACAAAAATGCAACCAAAACAAAGTCATAAGCCAATTAACAGCCTTGAAATGTGAATTTTATAAAACTGGAAGTTAGTATAAGCAGAAGAATGCAAATACAATACACAAGAAACATGTGGATGTGTGTACCTTCACGAGTTTTGTGACTACTCCAATGGATGCTTTGCGAATACTGTCAACTTTACTCATTATTCCTTCTGTTAGCAATAAAGGTAGTACAATATTCATTGCCTGTCTTGCCTCTGACATGGGTGTAAGAGAGACATCACACAACCTCACAGTCAATGAAGTGACGGCACGGCATAATTTGTCACCAGAATTACGGACAGTCTCCTTTATGTCATCCATGGCACGAAAAGCAGCTTTCCATATTCTCCCCAAATGCTTCTCAACCTATAGGCCAAAGCGCATCAAAATGTTCAATCTGTATACTATTCCACTCAAAATGTACTTATGCAAGTCGATTTAGCTGAAGAGCAGGATAATGACCACTATCTTGCATTTTGACAATATAACTATCTTGAAGATTGCGGCTACTTAATCCCACAAAATATACCTGATTAAATTTGACTTAGCAAGAACAGTCTGAGAGCTTAAAGTATGGACAGAAACAGAGGGGGCAGGGAGGGGCACCACACCCACCCCCCCCCCCAACACACACAAGGAAAAGAATATTTTTATACATTTTACTTTCCCCAAAAAAACACTTAAGAACGTGGAATTCAGTGGACCTAATTTTTATACATTTTACTTCCCCAAAAAGTTTCAAAAAACCTTATTTGGAAGCTTTAAATATTTTCATTAAGAAAATGTTTTACTATTAAATCCTTACATTCCAAAGTTATGTACTCCCTCCCCCCCCCCCTCCAAAAAAAATAGAAATCCTAGTTTGGCCGGTGGCTTAAAGAAAGAGACAGTAGTTAGACTTCCCTGTTCACCAGATATATAAACTCTCCAATTTATATGGTACAATGGAACTTCGTAAATTTGGATTTCAATTTTTTTCTACTCAAATTGAGAACTGAACAAAACCAGTGACACACATCTGGAGCCTTAATCATAACAAATCACAATGAAATTAGATACACGAGTGAATCCAAGCACCGATCCAACATTTAGATACCATTCATTGGATTAGATGTCAGGCTTGAGAAAACTAAACAACCCATTTTCAGTTTTCCTGGTTCTTGGAGTGTTTTCGTTTCCCAGTGAAAAGTCTCCTGATAACCTTTATCCTTCTTTAAATGTTCAATAATCATCAATATGCGCACATCTATTCACATAGCACTTTATTATCAAATTTACAATTCAAACAAATACAGTATGCAAAATTTTGAACGGTCTAATAATTTTCTCTAGTTAACATAGATTATTTCCAGTAAATTACTTTTGTAAGTTTGTAGACCACAATAGGCTAATGCACATACAAGTTGAGTTCTTTTCAATTTGCCCAAGCACATGCAGACCAATGGTTGGCAGCAGGAATAGAGATCAAGTTTCTAATATCTTAGTTGATAACCATCTCATATGACAGATTGAATCATTGGTATTAAAGTAACTAATAAGCTTATGAACTCCTATGATCATCGATTTAAAATAACTTTGTAACATAATAAGATTAATGTCAATATGTCATGTTTACTTGCTGGTAAATAAACACAAAAGAAAAAAGGATGCATGATATTTTACACATTACGGTAAGGTATGTCAATGTGGTAGAAAACATCTTTTTATACAATAGGCCACAGTTTAAATGAGGCTGCATGATTTTCAATCCTCAGCAAATGAAAACTCATATTTGGAGCTACACACGTCATATGTTTCGGCTACTCAGACACCAATCCTATCTTGATTTGCAGACGTGGGAGCTACACTACTTAAGATTGCTTGAGTTTGAGGCTTAGAAGCATCTGCATGAATTTAGCCCACATACGTCGAGCCAGTAATTTGATCCAATATCGTATTCAAAACTTAATCTTGAAGGTTAAAGATTTCTAAGCATCAAAGAAATCTCCTCAAAAGATTCATTGGAATATGTATAGAGACATGCTATACGAGCAAATATTTATCTAACCCTGAGATCAGAAATAGTTGGTGTTTGATCATCATACAGAATAATATCTCTAAGACAATTAAAGAACAAGCTTCACAGGGATGAGTCCAAAATATTGTAGTCATACACAAGGTGAGCTCAATATAAAGTTGATCGAAGCCCATAGTACTTAAGGCTATTTTACATGGACTCAGGTGCACTTGTCAGTTATGGGTGTGTGTCGAAGCATCAAATTGTCGTATTTGGAATTATACGATCCGGGTATATGTGTCTGTCAAGAGAATATAAGTATTCTTGTAGATAATAAATTAGTAAGGGTATTCTTGTAAATAGTTTGTTAGGTTTGTACTCCTATAAATACTAGTTGGTCACTCATAATACTGTGACTAGATGTTTTCCTCCCAAAATACCAGTTGACATGGTATCAGAGCAAAAGTCCTAGGGTTAGGGTTAAACATCTAGCAAAAGTCTTGACGCGATACTGTTCATCACGACTGTTCACGCGGTACTGTTCACGCGGTACTGTTCATCGCGATACTGTTCACCCCGGTACTATTCACGGCGCACTGTTCACGGCGCACTGTTTATAGCGAATTTTGATTGCTGTTTTGTTTGAAGTGCTATTCGCTATGGTTGAAAGTTTTGCTAATGGGGTTACCACTGATCAAGTTAAATCAAGTTCTTCAGCACATAGGTCCCAGAAAACTGTTATTATATCCGAGGAAGATTATGTTAAATTCTTACAGTACCAAACTACAAGTCACGCATCTCTTCCCTCTGCTTCTTTAGCACAAAAAGGTAATGACTCATGGATTATTGACTCCGGGGCTACTGATCATATGTCAGGTACCTCTAAAATTTTTTCTAATTTTCAAGAGTCTACTCCCTTTCCTCATGTTACTTTAGCTGATGGATCTACCACTAAAGTTAAAGGACTAGGCACTGTAGAAATTAATCCATCACTTCCGCTGTCTTCTGTTCTTTACGTACCCAATTTACCATTTAATCTAATGTCTGTTAGTAAGCTCACTAAATTTCTACAGTGTACAGTTACTTTTTCTCCTGATTCCGTTGTCATTCAGGATTTGAAGACAAAGAGGACGATTGGTGGAGGGCATGAGCATAATGGTCTTTACTTTCTCAACTTTAATGGTCCGATAGCATGTCCTGCTACTGTTTCTCCTCTTGAAATTCACTGTCGTTTAGGTCATCCGTCTTTACAAAATTTGAAAAAGTTGGTTCCTACTTTGAATCAATTATCTTCGTTAGAATGTGAGTCTTGTCAGTTAGGAAAGCATCATCGTGTTTCTTTTGCTCCTAAAGTCAATAAACGGGTTTCTGAACCCTTTTTGTTAGTTCATTCTGATGTTTGGGGTCCTAGTCGAGTCACTTCAAAGTTAGGTTTTAAATATTTTGTAGTCTTTGTTGATGATTTTTCCAGAGTTACATGGCTTTATTTAATGAAAGATCGTTCAGAATTATATTCCATTTTTTGTGCATTTGTTACAGAAATAAAGAATCAATTTGGTGTGCCTGTGCGTATACTTCGCAGTGATAATGCGAAAGAATATTTTTCCACTCCTTTTAATACCTTTATGACTAAGTCTGGTATTATTCATCAGTCCTCTTGTCCTCACACTCCACAACAGAATGGAGTTGCTGAAAGGAAAATTGGACATTTAATCGAAATTGCTCGAACACTGTTGTTGCACATGAATGTGCCCAAACAATTTTGGAGTGATGCAGTTCTAACTGCATGTTATTTAATTAATCGCATGGCATCTAATATTCTTGAAGGTCAATTACCTCACTCCATTCTTTTTCCTCATGAACCTGTGTTTAAATTGCCTCCTCGTATTTTTGGATGTGTCTGCTTTGTTCATCAGCTTGCTCCCGGGGTGGATAAATTAGATTCTCGTGCTATTAAGTGTATTTTCTTAGGATATGCACGAGCGCAAAAAGGGTATAGATGTTACAGTCCAGTTTTAAATCGATTTTTTACTTGTGCTGATGTTACTTTCTTTGAATCCACTCCGTATTTTATCAAACAAAGTATGTCTTGTGAGTTAGACCAGTGTCCCTCTTTTTCCTCTCCTATTTTACCAGTCCCTTCCCCTTTATTACCTGAGTTATCTAGTCCACCAGATTCCATAGCTCGATTATCTCGTCCTCATCTTCAAGTTTACTCTCGTCGTTCCATGGTTGAAAAAGTTCCTGATATGCCACGCACTTCACCAATTAATTCTCAATCTTCCAATTCAGGTATGACGCTCTCCTCTGAGTTAGATCTTCCCATTGCTTTACGCAAAGGTAAGAGACATTGTACTTCCCATCCTATTTCTAATTTTGTTTCTTATTCTCGTCTCTCTATGTCATATTCTTCTTTTGTTGCTTCCCTTGATTCTATCTCCATTCCTAAGTCTATTACCTATGCTCTTAATCATCCTGGTTGGAGATTAGCTATGCAAGAAGAGATGTCTGCTTTGGAACAAAATGGTACTTGGGATCTTGTCCCTCGTCCTTCAGGTAAGCCTGTTGTTGGTTGTAAATGGGTGTACACTATAAAAGTGCAGCCTAATGGTTCTATTGATAGATTGAAGGCTCGGCTGGTAGCTAGAGGATTTACTCAGGTGTATGGAGTAGATTACTTAGAAACTTTTTCTCCTGTTGCAAAGATTACCTCTGTTCGTCTTCTTATCTCTTTGGCAGCCACTTATAATTGGCCATTGCATCAGTTGGATGTGAAAAATGCATTTCTGCATGGAGATTTGAAAGAAGAGGTATATATGGAACAACCTCCTGGATTTGTTGTTCAGGGGGAGAATCCGCGGTTGGTTTGTCGTTTGAAAAAATCCTTATATGGATTGAAACAGTCTCCGAGGGCTTGGTTTGGCCGGTTTAGTAGTGTTGTCATGGAGTTCGGTCTGACAAGATGTGGAGTAGATCACTCTGTATTTTATCGGCATTCTAATGCTGGTAAAATTTTATTAGTTGTTTATGTGGATGACATTGTGATTACAGGTGATGATGTTGTGGGGATTCAGAAACTTAAATCCAATCTGCAGGCAAACTTTCAGACAAAGGATTTAGGTCATCTACAGTATTTTCTGGGTATTGAGGTAGCTCGGTCTAAATATGGGATTTATTTATGTCAAAGAAAATATGTACTCGATATGTTGAGTGAAGTTGGGATGTTAGGTTGCCGACCTGTGGATACTCCTATGGATCCAAATGTGAAATTAGCAGGAGATCAAGGTGCATTACTTGATGATCCTAAGCAATATCGAAGACTTGTGGGTAAATTAAATTATCTCACTGTAACGAGACCTGACATTTCGTTTGCAGTGAGTGTTGTGAGTCAATTTCTTGATACCCCTCGTACTAGTCATTGGGATGCTGTTATACGGATTCTCAGATATCTTAAGAGTGCTCCTGGAAAAGGGTTGCTGTATCAAAATCATGGACACACTGATATTGAAGGATATAGTGATGCAGATTGGGCTGGTTCTGCCTCAGATCGAAGATCGACTACAGGATATTGTGTGTTTGTTGGTGGTAATTTAGTGTCGTGGAAGAGTAAGAAGCAAACAGTTGTATCCAGATCAAGTGCAGAATCTGAATACCGCGCTATGGCTCACACTGTGTGTGAGTTGGTTTGGTTGAAGAGCATATTACTGGAACTTGGGTTTGAGCATAAACAGCCTATGAATTTAGTGTGTGATAATCAGGCGGCTGTTCATATTGCGTCTAATCCAGTGTTTCATGAAAGGACAAAACATATTGAAGTTGATTGTCATTTCATTCGAGAGAAATTGCTTGACGGGGTCATCAAGACATCTCATGTACCGTCTGTAGATCAATTGGCTGATGTGTTTACCAAGAGTTTAGGGGGTTCTAGGGTGAAATACATTTGTAACAAGTTGGGTGCTTATGATATATATGCTCCAACTTGAGGGGGAGTGTCAAGAGAATATAAGTATTCTTGTAGATAATAAATTAGTAAGGGTATTCTTGTAAATAGTTTGTTAGGTTTGTACTCCTATAAATACTAGTTGGTCACTCATAATACTGTGACTAGATGTTTTCCTCCCAAAATACCAGTTGACAGTGTCAAAATTTGGAAACAAACGTGGGGATATGATTTCTCACTCATCAGTGCATACAATTTTTTAAAATAAATTATTCCAAAATTTATCTACTATCATTTTTGAAGTATAGGCAAATAAAAGTTCATTTAATGTGCAGCCAGGTTGAAAAGAACCATAAGCTTCGTTAGAAACTTGAATTTTGAAGTGTGAGGGGCTAAATTAATATTACAAAAGAGCAAAATTCTAAAGAAATAAGTTAAGTATTGATAAAGAAATAAAAGTTAAAATATAGGGGTTTAGCTGCAAAAAAAAGTCATGTTCAAACTCCATCTTGGAAATTGACATCCATTATTAGTGTATGTAATTAATTCTTTTAGATTACAACATATGTGGAATTTATTAATATCCAATCAAGGTATTAGCAACAACTAAAGGGTCATCAAAAGTTACTTTAGACAAACATTTTATCTTATCACTTACTCTTTCCTGAATCTTGAGTCCAACTATTACCCTGAGACTGTAAGTCCTCATCTTCCTCTATTTGGAAAAGTCCTCTCCATCTTTTCCCCAAAGATCTCTTATCTTCTTCTTGTTCACCATAGTATCTCATTAGTATGACATCTCATTTTCATCTTCATCTTCCTCTTGCAGCCACGCCTCTGCATAGTCAACGCACCCAATTTTTTTTCTTTTTTTTTTTTTACCACATCAGACACATCGCACAACAATGTCCATGTCGTATAGTTTCGACATGGGTGCAGCAGGGCTGCAAGGCAAGTCCAAGTAACATAGACTGGAGTCAAAGAACAGAGGCCTATTTTACATGGATCTCCTTCCAGCCCTGCTGCACCCGCATCGACATGACATGACAAGGACAGTGGTGCAAGATATGTGTCTGATGTGGTCAACAAAAATTGGGTGCATTGACTGGCTGCATCTACAATAGATGAGAGGTGATGACATGGTATGGTGAAAAGGAGGAAGATAAGAGGTCATGAGATGCTACGCTGAATGAGAGGAAGTTGACACTTTTTGGGGAAAAAGTAGATAGGATTTTAAAAGAGGAAGATAAGGAGTTGAGTCTCGGGGTAACAGTTGGACTTAAGATGACAAAGCAAACAAGGGATAAGAACAAAGTTTTGTCTAAAGTAAACTTTTGGTTACCCTTTAGTTGTTAATAATGCATTCATTGGATAAAATAAGTTACACACATATTTTATTTCTAGCTGCTATTGCATGGTTACCGGTCATCTATGGGTGACTTTAACACTTGAAAAGTAGCCCATCTCATGATCTAAAAGAATTAATTACATACACTAATAATGGATATCAATTTCCAAGATAGAGATGGGGTTTGATCATAATATCTTTTTTGCAACTAAAGCCCTGTATTTTAACTTTTATTTCTTTTACAATACTTAATCTATTTACAATTTTTCCCTTTTGAACTATTAATTCAGCACCTCACACTTAAAAATTCACGTTTCTAACCCAGTTTATGTTTTTTTTCAACATAATTGAACCTTTTATTAGCATAGACTTCAAACATGATAATGGATAAATTTTGGAATGATTTATTTTTAAGTATCTTATGCACATATGACTATAGGAAATGTATCCTTGCACCCCATTCCAATTTGGACACATATCCCAAGATCCTATGATTTTCAAATATGCAAACCCAACACTTCAACACGCATACGTACCCAACACCCCACACCCCAACCCATGTAAGATAGAGTGGCTTGAGGCTCTGACGAGTATTTCAACAATTTAGGCAGAGGGGCTTTTTTAAGTAATCTTTGCATAATTGATAGTAGTTTTATTCTATTGATGTTTCCCTCTATGGTTTTACAAGTCCTTTGGTTATCAGGATTCAGAATGATCAGAATACATCAGGTGATCCTTCGCAGGACTTGTGGCACTTGTAAGCTATATTTGGGATAACGAAGCCTTGGATCTCCAAACGTCAGACATCATTAGGTTCCTCAATTAGGTGACTCCTTGAAGGACTATGGGAATTTCAAAGATTTGCTACCTTCTACCTCTATTTCTACTGTTTTCTACTCCTCCTTGCTGCTTTCTTAGACTCATGATTCTGGTGTTGTTTCTAGAACATACATAATTTCGTAGGCAATCATTAATTCCAGATTTAGGGCTGTACCGCACCAAGTCAGGAACCAGGCTTCAATTTGACCACGTGCATAAGCTCACAGCTACAAATGACTTGCATAGTTATGGATACAGATTTTATCACAATGGCAAACACAAGGTCACCGTTGATAATTCTATAAGAAGTCCAGAAAATCAATTGCAATTGCAATTTTAATTGTCTAAAACAAGTTACTAGACTCGCTGAAGCCTAAAAACTGATGAAATATGTTGAAAAGAATGGTAAAGACAAGGTCACTGTTGATAATGCTTCAAGAAGTCCAGAAAGTCAATTGCAATTGTAATTTTAATTTTCTAAAACAAGTTACTAGAGTTGTTAAAATCTGATGAAATATGTTGAAAATGCCAAATATCAAGAAAGTACAGCTATTCAAAGTCAGCTGCAATTGCAATTCCTTAAACTAACTAGAGAAATTCAAACTGATATTAAAAAAAGCTACAAAAAAATTTTTTTAGCAAGCATAATGAACAGCATAAATGGATGGTTATATAATGGTTCAGTGCTAAGTTTGACCGTCTATATATCCAAAGAGAAAAGATAAGCCATTCCAGCTACTAAGTCTTGATGCGTTAATCCAATTACCTGGTCAAATTTACGTCCTTGAATTATATCTGCAATAGCAAGGCAAGAAGCTTCACGTGAGCGCCAGAGCCTTGATCCGCACTGCATCAGAAGATCATCAATAATGAGATCCAAGTGTTCATCGATTGTCCTCTTGGAGTCAACCACCAGTGACTTCCAGATATGTGCCATAGCATCCTAGAGCAAAATGGTAGAGCAACAACAATGAGAAAGATGAAGCAATAAAGCCTCTCATGCTTTTCCACTCCTATAGACAACAATCAATGGATAGGTACAGAAGTCAAACCAATATCACAACTGAGAAAAGATAGAATGGGTACAGAAGTAGCCAATGTCTACTTGATGTGAAGAAAGTTTGAGATCTAATGAGCCAAAATGGATGTAAAAATGCTTTATTAGAAAAGAGCAACGGCACTCAATGAAAACATTCTTAAGTATAGGATATCTACCTGAACATTTTTCTCAGGGTCATACTGGTAGCGAACAAGTCTTGGAATCAATGAACGCAAGTATGGCTGTAGGGCATCTCCAGCATGCTTGGCTATCTTAGAGAACCCAAAAGCAGCACCTCTTTTGGAATTTAGTGAAGCCTGATAATTAGCCAAGTCCATGAACTTGTAAATCAAGTCAGGTTGCCCCATCTCATTTGCAAGGTTGCAAAGTTCCTTGTAAGTGCTCAATTTTCCTCCCGTAGGACTTTCGCCAATTGCACCATCTTGAAACACTTCAGTGTCTTCTAACAGCTGCAAAAATGAGAGATGTAACTTAGAAAAAGAGTATACACACAAGAAAGATGATGAGCATATAAGATAGTCATCCTGACCTTTACAGCTCTTTTCCTCTTCCCTGAACCAGTTAGTGTGCCAACTAGGGCATTCACCAAGTTTTTCTTCATCGAAGCATCACCAAGTTCATATACAATACTGAGGCCCTGAGATGCAAGTTCTTGTGTGAGTTCATTCTGTTCTCCCAGAAGGTGTGAAAAAGCTTCCTGCATCCATTCCAGCAGTGTATTAGATGGAGAATTATCATTTTAAACAAATGAAAATCCTGTGTAATGAATAATCATATAAAGTGTACAGCATATCTGCCTAGTTAAACTTATTACATCCTGCAAACGTTGAGCTAAGTGCCCCAATGGTCACTAAGCTATTTCAAGTATTTCATTTTAGTCACTAAACTATTCTGAGTGTAAAGAAAACACTTTTGGAACTGCATTGTTTAGATCACTCCATCCATATTCCACCATTAACTGTGACTTCACACCAATGGGTGTACTAACTACATATATCTTGGACTTCAACTACTGGAAGTATGGTTAGACGCTTTACAGTCGTAGTTGTAATGCTTGTGACAAACCTGGATGTCAGGAAGCAACTGCTGAATTGTTGGATGGTGGCCACAGTACATTGTCAGCGACAGTAGCCAGACAGTTCCAGCACACAGCTCCTCCTTTTTGTTGCTATACAAAAGTCCATCAAATAATTTCCTAGTAATTGCATCTCTAACTGCACTATGGTAGTTCTCATCAACTTCAGAATGTATGTTCTGAGAAGTTGACAAAGATGACACAACATCAGCCATCAGGAAGTTTGATGTAGCAGAAAGTGAAGAATAGTTTGTTTTGAGAATCATGTCAGTAGTCACAGGAACACCACCCCATAAAAATGCAAGCGCCTCACCAGCAGCAAACAAGATATCCTCAGCCTGCCCAAACACAATTGGGGAATAATGTGTAAAACAGCACATGAAATCTTTTCAATTTTTATAAGCCTTGACCATTCATCGACAGAATAATTTTCAAGAAAGAACTGAAAATTTCAATGAGGATTCCCACCTTAGAGCGGCACAGACTGAAAATCAAATCAAGGGTTGTAGTCAGGAACGAAGAGGATGTCTCTTTAACAGACATATGACCCAAAGCAATAACAATCCTCTGGATTGCTTTAATTTCTTCACGAAATAGAAGCTTGCTTAATGTTCCATGCAACAGCGTTAAAACATTGGCTGCAATTGGATGATGCATGTACATCAAATTGTCAGCTTTACCATAATGTAAAGTTTTTATGCAGCCTCTATTGAGCTTAAAAGGCAAATACAAACATTACCTAAACCAGAATCATGAGGCAGCAGAGGAAGTGGAACACTTAGTCCAATATGTCCTAGAGCTTGCATTGCAGCAGAAGCTAGAGAAGCACTCTCTGAATTAACTACATCAACCAGACATTTAACCGTATTCTGAAGCAAGGAATCTGATATCTGTTGGCAAGGAGAGAATTAATCGTTCTTAATGAAGAAGGCAAAGTAATGCAAGGAATTGAAAAGAAGCTTAAAATAATATAAACAGGAAAAATCAAATAAAAAAGAAAAAAATTTCCGTCAAACTTTTTTGTATTCTTTTAAGTCCTGAAATTCTAAACCACATCTTAGACAGCGTCATATGTATTCTTACAACCTACTGGTTAATGGTCTTTCTTCCACATATACACCCTCCACAATTCATACGTCCTCTTGACATTAGCAAATACAGCTTTGGCTATTTTTTTTTTGTAATAATGTACTACCTCACTTGGTTTAGTCACATCTTTGAAAACCATTCAGTTGCTTACAAATAAATTAAATCGAACAAATTGCTTCATTGATGCGAATAAAAATCCATATTATCAATAATAGAATATTCCAGCATAATTGTCTTTTCTTGAAACTAAAAGTCATGGTTAGCCACCCCTTCAAAGGTAATTCTATTTCCCAAATCATCAAAATGACTGAAGGGGGCTGCACAAGATTCAAAACAAACAGGCCACAACAGTAACTCATCCTTTCTCTTCTTCCTTCATATTTGTCAAACAAGACCCAACAGAACTACCACTACTACTACAAATCAAGAACGCTAAACCGCCAGGTCCACAACAGTAACATCTCATACTCTTCTTCCTGCATTATTGTCAGACAAAATCACCTGCACACTTATGCAGAGCTACCACTACCACCACAAATCACACAAAGTGATGCAAAAGATCACCCCTGAATCCAAAATGAAAGGAAAAATGGAAAAGGAAAAGGAAAAGGACTTGCCAAGAGAGACATGAATTAGAAGCATGGTGGACAGGCAAGAGTGTTTCTTATGAGAGATTTTTTTCTCCCTGTCAGAAGGCTTTCGGTTTCCTGGGCCAGTCAATTTTTCCAGACTGGGATTTCAGACGCTTTTAGGTTTGTGGTTGATCCTACGGAGGATATCTTGGGTAAACAGAATGCATCCTAACTGGCAACCCAAGACTGGAGCCATTAGCAACTTTTGTCTCATCGTAACCATCTCAGTCTTTCTTAATTACATTATCATCCCACAGAGCATGCAACATACACGACATCTATCCAATTAACATGCTCCTGTCCAGCCTACAATATTAAAAAGGGCTTTGTCAGCTGGCCCTTGCCTCTAACAGGAAGGCTAATGTTTTTCAGTCTGACAAAACCAATATCTCATCCTTGTTCAATTTTTTAACCCATACCAAAAAATAAGAAGAGACCCAATTTAATAAACCACCTCCCTTTCTCTTCAAATGCTATTCCTACTTGATAGTAGTTGTGGGCATATCAGTATTGCATTAAAGAAGCACAGCCAAAGCAATATGTATACCATGGTTCTAGTCATTTCAGACAGCATTATCAACTTTCACAGATAAACAGAATCACAGAACTTACAGTAGGTGCCTTCAACAAGCAATTTGCTGTAACATATCCTAAAGCACAAAGCACACCATGCTGCATCTCAAACCTAGAGAAAGCAAATGCCAACTTATGACACCATAACTGGAGTGAAAAACTCAATCATAATTTGTGATGAGTGCTGAAGGAAAACTTGCTGTTAAAACTAAGAACCTTGGCTTCAGCATCCCGCCAACTGAGGATATCAGTTCAGAAATCAGATCAGAGGATGCAGAGACAGGAAGCGCAGAGGAGGCAACTCCAAGTAACTGCGCTATTGATTCACGTGTACCAAAGTCCAGATGACCCAGTAATTGCTTTAGCCACAACACTTTATTCGCATAGCGAGATGATATTACCTATTGAACAGAAGCATAACTAAGAAAAGGACATCCAAAAATGCCATTTGCTCAGACAAGAGGGAGGGAATGGCACTATTGAAGTGATAACCAATGCACTTGTTTTTAACATTTTGACTCCTGAAATTCAATATAATGTACCTGTGGAACATGTGTTGCAACAGTTATCAATGCCTTGGAGGCATCAGCATGCAGCTCAATAGAGCCTTCGTATGCCATGGCATGCTCTAGAAGTGAACATAGTTTATCCACAGAATATACAAACTTTGAATCTTCCAGTATGGTCTTTTGCTTTACATCTGATTCAAAGCACTTCAACAAAAATTTGATCATAGCTACAAAGGTCGCTGAATGGAAAATTAGCTTGCTTTGCCCCAGACCAGCTGAATCCGTCAATGCTGGCTGCTGTTCCAGAATATAATCTAGCATGTCTACTAGTTTTGGGTATTGGATACTCAATTCAGTGCTAAGAGTCTTTCTTTGATCTTCTCCAGGAAACAAACCTTCTAATGCCATCTCCCTTTATGAATATCAAAGTGTTTAGTTCTATAAAAAAAATGACAACAAAAACATAAAACTGAAATCTCAACATTGTGAATAGCTAATAACAGTCCCACTTTAACAGGTTCAAATATCACTCCAAGAACCAGAGGAATTTGAACTATACCAGAATACACAAGTTTCCTGGACATACATCTGTAGCAGTGGAACTAACTAAAATGTATTTAAAAAATAACATTCAGAATAAAGCTTTGACCTAAAAAATCAGTTATCATCATCACAGGGCCCTTTGGTAACTTTCCTAAGAACTATGACAAGCATGATGAAACACTATACAACTGAAGACGAAACAGAGAAATTTAGGGAGAGACAGTAGAAAATTTGCTTTCAATCACTCACTGAATTACAGATCCTAGATCTTCTTTCCAGATAACAATTTATTCATATGCTTGTTCCGTTTCTCCTAAGAAATTAGTCCCTCCTCAATTAAATCTAAAGTCTTACTTGCTTTTTGATATAATAGACAATGATATGCAATTATCCAAAGCAGAACATACATTGTAAAAACTATATAAAAAGTAGAGGAGATTGGAGAAATGAACAAAGAAAAGCATTTTTTCTATTGGTGTTAATTCAAAATTGTAATGTGACAGTAGAAAATTTGCTTTCAGTCGCTTAATGAATTGCAGATCCTATATCTACTTGCGAGAATACACTTCATTCATATGCTTTTTCCATTTCTCCTAAGAAATTTGTCCCTCCTCAATTAAATCTAAAGTCTTACTTGGTTTCTAATACGATACACAATGATATGCACTTACCAAAGCAGATCTATATTGTAAAAACTATAGAAAAAGTAGAGGAGATGCACTAATCTCCGATTGGCTGGAGAAATTAATAAAGAGAAGCATTTTTGTCTATTGGTATTCATTCAAAATGGGAGGCAAGAAACTTGGTTTTAACCACTTAGAGCCAAAATGCATGTCAATTTGGATGTAAGGCTTAAATGATACAAGAAGCAACTAAGAAATTCAAACTGATACATGAGCTTACACAAGTGCAAGTGATGCAAAATGTGATGTTGAAAATAGAACTAAAGAAGGTTTAAGAATACAAGCCTGTTTAGGAATGCAGTGCATAAGCATAAAGGTATTCTAGATTTAAATGAAAAATAAGCTGCCATTGAAAATGCTTGGCAACATATAAAATCTTTTTCAGCTATTTTTAATGAAAAGCTGTTTCACGTGAAGCCTAATCTGGGTGATGTTTCATAAGAAGCAGTTATCCAAAAGGCACCTTTCCACACACATCACCCAGGGTGGACCGCAAAAACTAAAGATGGCAGGTTAAGTCAAAGGACAAATAGTACAGTGACTACCTGACCACAAACATATTCCCAAACTTAACAAAATTGTCAAAGGATAAAAAGGCCTAAACTAGTTACTGCATGTTGCAACAAGAACAATATAGGAAAATAAAACTACTGGCTAAAAAGGCATGGTGAGCTACCTAATGTCCAATTTAGGATCAGCAGCAGCAAGCATACAAATGAATCGGCTAGGGCAATGCTGCATGTCGAACAAGGATGTCACCCATCTGACAGCACAAAATCGAACTTCACTTTGTTCCTTTCATACAAAAGGTAAATACATGTCAGATAAGTAATCAAAGCTGTCACATTTGAAACAATCTGAATACTTAGCATATGGGATGAGCCAAGTTTAATGAAAATGTACCAATTGAGAATATATTAGAAGAAGCGACTCCAAACTCTTCAACACATTGGAGGGTGCATCCTGATGCAAAGCAACAAACCGTGAAAATGAAGAGTCAAATCAAGTGCAAATGCTTGAGCTGATGAAACTTGATACCTTATATGCCAAAGCAAGTGAATTAGTGGCATCTTGAATGACAAAACGCAAAAATTGAGCTTCCATTTTCAGTGCCTCAAAAAGTCGAATGGCCATATCCGTTTTCTCTCTATCAGAACCACATAACATGACAAAATTATGAGTGATTGAGATAGAAACTGAAACAGCAAAACATGATTGGAACAAATAATCTTACCTGAAAAGTTGTGGCATCCGTTCTGCAAGCAACCCAATTGCCTGATAGGCAAACGTTTTCATCTCCCTGAAAATAGCATCTGTATGAATGAGGCATCAGAATCTAAGTAACAGTCCTCAAAGAAAAGAAAATTGTTTCTGTGAAAAAGAGCTTTACATTTAGGGGTAACACAAGCCCACCTGAATCTGATGTTGAATAATTATCAAGCGAGCTCAGAATTCCAGTAAGGATGACAGGGCCCATAAGCTTTAACTGATCTGGCTTTGCCTGTAATTATTCATGAACAATAACATGCAAAAGGGAAGATCAATTTAAGTCAGACAAAAGATACTTTGCCTTGAAATCTTTTTAAATCAAAGAAACGTCAGTTTAACATTAAATCCCTTGTTTCGAGTTATAACTGTACGAGTTATCTTGAGCATATGTATAACAGTTTGAAAGTCATTCTTCAACAGTAAATCATGTATAACCAATATACTAGGTGTCGGTACAGTAACAAACATGTTATCTCTATTATCCAAACATAAAAACTTCGATCCTCACCTACCTCTTTTAAAGCATTTTATTAGAAGCAATAATAGGTAAAGTTGAATAGATAAAAATAAATAAAGTGCTTACATGTTTGAAGACCCAAACAGTAAATTCCATCCCCAGCTGCTTCAACCTGGCGATGGTATCGCTTCCTGATGGAGCAGAAAAATATAGCAATTTTATCTCCAGCTAATGAACCAGAATTACAACATCTACAAGCCATCTTTAACAAGGGAATCCTGGAGGTGGTATCACTTCCTAAGGTTGTTTGTGAAATGTTTGTTTACAGACTTGACAAGCCATCACCACTGAGGGAGGGGAACCTTAGAGACCACACAATTATAACATACAAATTCCCAATACAAAAGAATTGCACCTCAACAGAGATAATACCCATTAATTGTTCAATTACAGAAAAACAAGGCATAGACCAAAGCCAGTTTCCTTTTTAACAAATTTGATCAAACTTTTTTTCTTTTTGGCAATACAACCATGATTAGGTTACACGAGAAACAGAGAAAATTTCAGTCACGGAATCATTGACTCAGAATATACACCTACTATTCGCTAGGATATTAGTTTATAAGTCAATCTTGGCAAAATTAAAGAAATATTATACAAGTTTACAAAGTAATGCATATAAACTGTTGAAACAAAAAACCATATTGTAAATATTTTGCCACGTTACCAGCCAAAATAATACTAATAAGTTCACACTCATGGTATCGTTGACATGGTATAAACATACATAAGGTGCTACCATAAAAGGTAGCATATCATAAAGGAAAACTACTAATATATGCCACATTTTGGACATAACCAAGGCACCTATCCCACAAAAGATTACTAATAAAATATAACCTTTGAGGCACCAATAACCATAGGAAAACCGAAGGGGAAAAAAGCCATTGAAGTGCACATTTTACCATATATGCAGCCAAAGATGCACTGTAAAGTTAACGGGAAACTGTTTGCTGCCAATACTGATCGGCAGAAGACGGACATTAGCTTCACCCTTAAGGCGGGACTCCCAGGAGTGACTTTGGATTCTTGCGGAATCCTTTCAGGTCCAGTATTGCCTGCATATGAAGTGAATGAGTATCATATCTGCCATCTGGCATGTGGTAAACTTCACATGAAGAATTCAGAAAGCTCTTTTAGCTAAAAGTTCTGCAGAAACATCGAGAATGAGAAGAAAAAGGGTAAGTCATTTAAGGAGCCAAAGATGGCCGGAAATTGCCGATTACAGATCCTAAAAAGTACTTAGTGGTAACATACCACTTGAGGCAGTGAATAAAATAAGAAAGATACCAATAACCCAGGCAGATAACACTACCAAAACCCTGCTGCTGTACTTCTTGCACATTATAGATAAAAATAAAATAAAAAAGAGAGATAAAAAACTGAAAACATTTAGTAATATATTGCATGAGCAAACTATGCTTGTTTTCTTTTTCTAAGTGAATGCTTTGGACATTAAAATGAAGCCACCGTAACTAATTTTTGCAGCATATGTTGGATGGACAATGAATAGGCCTTTCTAGTTGGCCAGATGGGCCTGATTTCAATACTGTAGGAGTCACGAAAACGAAGCCAAAACAGGTAGAAGTGACACAATAAGCATTCGATTTTCCACAAGCAACCAAAAAAATTATAAGTTCATTGGAAGGTTTTCCCTTTAAGATATTTAGAGAACAGAGCTTGCAGTGCTCGAGACTAATGTACAATGTACAAAAGCTCTTCAGACAAGGTTTGGCTCCAGAGATGTGGTCAGCGACCTGATCAACAAATTCTTAGCACTTTCACACTTTCAAACAGAGTGCTCATGAAGTATGAAATGCTAAAGTATTCTAACAATGTTGTCCAATTTACTTTTCAATGCCATCAAAAGCATGCTTAGTTCCGTTCAAAAAGTTTACTACTGCGGGGTTCATACTACCTGTTCCAGCAGCTTAGCTCAGCTTTTAAGTATTTTGGACTAGTCTTGCTAAGGTTTCTGATTTGCTTAAGAAGGGCTGAGATTTTTCAACCTCACATCTACTCAAAGCAATTTCCCATGACAATATTGGGCATGTGTAAAAGAAACACCGACTAAACAATTTCCTTGTTAGCAAATAGGAAATTCCTTTTCCCAAAGAACGTTACTACTACTTGCATCTGACAAAAGCATAACATTCACCCACTTTTAATTCCCACCCACCCCCGCCATTTATTCCTTCCAGAATATTGGTAAAGTGCAAACATGGCTTTCCAGTTTCTAAATTAAGTACCAATGTTTCAGATATCTCCATCAGGAGCAATACTTTCAAGAGATTTTTATGTAGGGGCTCACAAAAATTCTCAGCTCCCTGATTGTTCATCCTTCATTCCTTATAAACATTACTGTGTCCAATATGATCTACTATGTTTTCCCCTTGCAGAACATTGTCATTAAGACTGCTGCAATTGATAAAATTTAATACAGCAATTTTAAACCCTCACAAGCATAAACATTTCAAATTTCTCTTGAATCTCCTCTACATTGCAAAGTAAAGAGTAAAACTTTTAGCAAACAAGTTGAATATATCCGAAAGTTCTTGTCACTCGCCAAAGTAGCTGAAAACATACTTTCCCTTGAATGGCTAAATAAGCACACAAGCAGACATTAGGATAAAGTCACCTGTTAAAAGCAACTTATCTTCAGGGGAAATAATGCTTCATACCATTGAACAATAGAAGTAATCTGCCTATCAGTTTTGCATCTTCTAAATTTGCTGCACTAGCATGCTTCTTCAAAAGCTCATCCCCTCTCCTAGCAACAGATTCCTGACTTGAATGAGGAAACCCAAAAAGCTGAAGGTCATATAATGATTAATTTAACCAGACAAATTCCTGATTTGAACCAGGAACAAAAAGCTGAAGGTTATTGGATCGTTAATTTAACAAGAAACGTATAGTCAAACACAAAGCATCATCACTTATGCCACAAAAAAAATGAAATATGTACCTGTCAACACAGGCAACTAAATAGAGGGGATAAACATATTCAGGGGGCAGCTCCATAGCCTCCACAATGTTTAAGATCCCTAACTACAAAATCAGATGGTGTGATCAGTGATGAGAACATTAGAAAGCACATTAACAATTAAAATAACTAACATCAATGCATTAGATTTAAGCCTGTCAACCTGATTATCATATTACCAATTTAGGCTTCTATAGATTTTTACCTTTCTACTACGAAGCATTTCAATTGTCAAGGTCTTTTTACCGCTAACACGGTCCCTCTGAGTAACTGAAAGCCCTGCTGGGCATCCACCACTGTGAAGAGTTATAGCCTTTTTATTTATGAAAATTGCTTGTTTAATTTACAATTTAGCAATGCAAAATGTCAGTTCATCCAACCTTTGAGAAGTAGGCTGATATAAAAGCGTTTGAAGGCCAAAATCAAGAAATATCTCTCTGTCCTGTGAGCCACCAAGGCTTTTATATTTTGCCACAACTTGATCATCAATTTGAGCTGAATAGCATTCACCAATCACCTGAAACAGGAAAAGAATTATAAACTCAACATCACATGTCAAGCAGACACCAACTGGAAAATATAAGTTTAAAACATACAAGGCCATTCCATGGCCATCATTGGCACTTAATCCAATAATGTAGCTCACCAAATTAGCCCCGAAAGAACAATGCAGATATGAATGACCTTAGGTGAAACTAAAAATAGAAGAAGAAAAATTTCTAAGACAAGTTGCCAATGGTGGGTCTCAGATCTAACCAGCCAAGTTCACTGCATGGTTTACCTAACCAATAGGAGCTTAAACTATTTTAAATATAATGTACAAAAAGAAAAAGGAAGAAGAATTCAGAGAACATTGCCAAGTCAGTCTACAAAGAGAAATAGCTCGTGATCATTCTGCTAGAAAAACAACAAGAATGGAGCTCCAATAATTACTCTTCTAACTCAAAGCAACTTCAAGGACTATAGAATTGGTTGTAGGTAACACATTAAGTATATTCAAGGATTGCCAGGTAGAACATTATATTCTTTGAAGTACAAGAAAAGAACCAGATTAAACTAATCTAACACAGGATTTTGTTCAATGGATTTGTTTCACTCAAGAGTGTTGGTTTCAGAAAAATTCACAAGCACAGAATCTGTATAAAAATTAAGCAACCTGAGAAAGGGAGTCCTACTTGTGCCTGATTGGTCTAATTTCCTGATTAACTTTGCTCAAATAACTCTTGTCTTGTTACACCCTTTCTCAAAATCCTTATCAAAGTCTAATCAAAACCTGGATTCAACAGAGTGCAGTGAATTCTTGGTCAACAACAGAAGCATTGTTCCTTGTATTTCACTTATTCTACCACATGCATTAATTCTACACACTTAGTGTTCATATTTGTTATGTAGGCATGAATGGTTAGTGCATAGATAAGAGCTAACTTTAAGACAGAAACTGCAAAGTTATAGGCGAGTTCTACTACTTTTATCGCACATCCCACCTATCTCTAAGCCTATTAACTACACACCAAATGAGAATTCTAGTCACCAACTCCAGACTTTTATACTCTTCAATTGGCATAGAGTATGCACACTTGACATTCAGAAATATAGAGAGTAAAATTGTCCTCATTCTCGAAATATTAGAACAGCTTATTGGTCCTTACACGGAAAGATCAAAGCCCTCACTCATATACGCTTCTCAAGATGATTAAGCAGAAGACAAAAACAAGCATGTGCTGGTATCTTCTTTAACCACTATGCCCCTTCCAGCCTTGAATTTTCAGCCCAAAAGTTTTGGCTCAGACTTCACTTTGCTAAAACCAACTAGAAGGCACTGGCACTTGATATTTTTGAGCTCACTGCTATCATGCATGCATGGCAGCTTGTCATACTTCCATTTTTCTTGAATTCCATCAGATCAAATTCATATTTCCTTTCATAACTCCCATAACAAAAGAGTTCTGCAGCAATTTATTGCTTGCACAGTTTTCATCTCACTCCCCCTCTCCCTCCCTCCATACTCTCTCTTGCACAATTGCTTGTGTATGAGCTAATCTTTAGTCAAAATAGTTGCTTGCAGCTACGGAATACCAAAGTGGGGAATGGACTGAGGTGTATCTGCTATTAGTGATTGATAAGCAAGTTCAAAAAGAAAATTTATGAGGTCAACTCTATAGCCCTCCCAACACAAATGAGTAATCTTTAAGATCACAGGCCGCTAAGCTTGAACTTCACCAAAGCTCAAATCAAATCTATACTAGAGGTCTATATTACTATTAGTTTGGCAAGGCAAAATGCATGACAAAGTCAAAAAGTAACTCATGAGGTAAAATCAACCTCCTGCAAATAAGTTCCTAAAATAGAATATCTGCGATCCAAAATTTATAAAAATCAACCACGAAGAGAAGGAAAATCAACAATAATGATGAGGGCTGAGTGAAGCTACCTACTATTAAGAACTACTTAAGCACAAAAAGTAGAAAAATGAATACATACAGTCCTCTAGTCATAACCCAATTACAAAACCATGAGACAATCAAGAGAAGAAAAATAAGAATTTATCTATCAAGAACAAAAGAAAACTTCGGAAATACCTTTACTGAGATTCTCAACAATATCTCTTGATGCTGAGAAGGAAGCTTTGAAATGGTTGCAAGAAAAGTAGGAACTAAGTTTTCTTTATCCTGAAACCACAGAACTAGATCAGTCTAGTGCCTAAGGAAAGCCAAACAAACTTTGCTTTTATCAATTAAATTGAAAAGTATGAATCTAAATTATTATGGCCTACCTCCTTCCTTGCTCGATCAATTGCCATCTCAACATAAACAACACAAAAGCTCCTAACCATTGGAGCATTACCAGATTCCAAATACAATTGCCACAACTCTACTAATGGTAAACCAATCTCTGGCTGGTGCTTTACTCTCTTGTTCACATGGTTTAAAATCTCAAGAACCTAGAATACAAGCAGTAAACTTCTTTAATCAACAAACAAGTTTAATAAATATATGTATGTAACGGCACTTTTCAACTATGTTACCCAGACTCGAGTATTGGAGTCCCACCAACACGCTGCTCTAGTGCAAAATGTAGAGTCAGACTTGGGTATGGCAAGGCAAAGTAAAGGGTATGGGTAACATAGCTTTTCAAGTAACAATATCAACTTTTCAAGTTAATGATATGCAGATGGTAATTAACAAAATAAATTCATAGAAACTCTAAATCTCCAATCCATCTCCCATTGGTACCTATCCAACAGGAAACAAAGATAGCACTTTTCGAGTTAATAACGTGATCGGGTAAAATAGCACTTTTCAAAAACACACAATTGACAAAAATGAGTTGTTAAAAACAATCAATCTTCCATTGCTCCCTGTCCAACAAAAAAACCAACATTTGGATGTTTACAGCTAGTAACATCAAATCTTCAGTTAGTAGGATCATACTAAGCAGATGAGTTCACTAGAAGAATGGCCAATCTTCATTGCTTCCCAATAACATAGCACAATTCAAGGTTAACAGCATACATTTTTTTGGAGAAAGTAACCCGTAACTAACAACTGAGCTGCTAAAATTTAACTTTTTGAGCTAGTCACATCAAATTTTGTAGCTCCTAAAGCAACAATTATGCATGTTATACATCTTTGAAACCTTAATTTTACTCAAAAAAATTTGCTAGAAAACAAAAAAAAATTCCTCTTTAACTTTTAAATTTCACGAAAATAAACCGATTCAGCTGGAAAGGCAAAAACAGAAGCAAAATAGAAAAAAAGAAAAGCCAACAAAATACTTAATTACAAACGGAATAATCAACAAATTACTTTGTTTCGGACGGACTGCGATGAAGAAGAGAGGGAGGAAATGGAAAGAGGAAGTAGCTTGGAGAGCAAGTCTTGAAGCTTCGAGTCATCGCAAAGAGCCAACCGAGTCAGCATCCGGTCCAATAAGTCCTCTATCTCGCCGTCCGACTTGCCGGACAGCATTGAAGATAACCACGACGACAACGCCGACGCCGGCGACGATGATGATTCGGTCATTTTACTTTCCGTTTTTTGGTCCTTTGGTTTCTTTTTCTTGTTGTTTGTTTTTCCAATTTGAATGGATTTTTTCCGCCTCTATATATCCGGCGCTGGTCCAGGCCCAGCCCAATTAGGTAGTTATTTACTATCTTTTTCTTTTCCTAAATTTATGCCTCTGTATGGATTAACTATTTTTGAAATATTTTTGAAAAATATTATTGTAATTATTTTTTAAACGCAGTGGTGTTGTTTAGATCACTTTTTTTGGAAAAATGTCTTTTTTAAAAAAGCTATTTAATTTTGGAAAGGTTACGCATTGCATTACTTTTGTTACTTTCGAATAGAAATTATGTCGTACACATTGTTGGAAGGATAGTGTCAAATATCAACCACATGCAATGCTTATTGTGACATATATCTTGCACTCTCACAGCTGAAAGTTTCTCTAGAAAAGAATGTCCCTATTATATATAATTAATTACTAGCATAGAATGAGCAAGATGAGGTTTTTTTTTTATTTTGAATATACTAGGGGGAGGGTTGGGTTGGGTTAGGTGGTACGGGGGAGGGAGTGTAAGGAAGAGGTCTGGGTTCGAATCCTCTGTTTACACTAAAAAAAAAAAGAACATATTACAAGATGTTTTCAGTAAGTTTGGAACATACTACAGGCGGAATGCATGCATTTCGGAAAACAATTTCAGTAAGTTTGGAAGGGAAGTTGTTTTGCATAAGATGAGTGAAAATATTTTACATAGGAAAATATTTTCAGTAACTTTTGTGCAACCAAACACGGGAAATTAGGAAAATATTTTCCTGGAAAATATTTTCGCCCGAAAACAAACGGAGCCTAAATGTCCTTTTTGTTACTATGTGCTTAAATTTGCAGTCACAAGCTACAGTTTGATGATAGCTTGACCGAGAAAGCCACCACCGCCCTTTTGGATTGGAGGTTTTATATAGTAAGGATGTGGAATATGTGAAATAAAAAGAAAAAATTGTTAAAAATATCTTTTATATTTTGTCAATAATTTTTTTGTCTCTCACTTTTAGAATGTTAATTTATGTTTCTTACAAATTTAAATTAACTTACACTGAAGCCTCTACCTAAGTTTTTGACCATTTTTTCACCCTAAAATCACCACTGTTCCACATGCAGTTATTTTTATATATAAAAAGGTCAGATCCTACTTTTTAATGGAAAGAATGAATATAGATTAGGTCAAATTGCACTTTTTAGGAGAAAACATACATATGGTTCAGGTCAAATTCTACTCTTTTAGAGACAAAAGCGAATATAGATTATGTCATTTGTTTAACTATAAATAAAATATAACTTTTTTGTTCCTAAAGAAATGATCATATGTGAGTCACACAATTGATTCAAAGTAAAAAATGGTCAAAAATTAGGTTAGGATTAAATTTGGTTGACTTGATTTTGTAAGGGACGTAAATCTATTATTTTAAAAATGAAGGATGAAAAAAATCATTTAGCAAAATGTGAGGAACGTCTTGAACAATTCTTTCAAATAAAATTACAGTTAGAGGATACGTCGAGGGAAATTTTCAAAAAAACATTTCAGATCAACTCGCAATTCAAACGAGATCTATGTGTTTCAACATTCTGTGGCGGCACGGCACATTCAAGGACAGAAGTCTGTCGTGGTAGCTCATGACTCAAATGAAAACGATTACATATCTCTATCTGGAATTCAAGAAAGGACGCTTATGGCCGATTTAGACGAGTTTGCTGCAATCCATCGACAGATTCATCAACAAAATTTTGCTCATCTGTTTAAAGATTAGCATTTTTTGTTTGAAGAAAGAAAGGAATCAGAAGGGCAACCATGCATTAATGTCAGAAATGAATACTTCTCTACTTTTTTTTCTACCATTAGCGGTAAAAACACACACACACCTCTAATTAGAACGACGCAGAATATTAGAATACTTCTCTACTTAGTAACGCGAATATTAACACCGCAAACGTGAATTAATTACAATTAACAGAGAGACTTTTCGTAGTTGCAAGTTTCTGATGATTGAATGCGTAAGTTTAACAGTTAACACACTTGACTAAGTCACTCTAAACAAACACTGAATTACAATATAGAGTAAAAAATATTAGGTTCAAATTATAATTAGAGTTGTAGTTTACATGGATGTATTTATTCATGTTTGAATGGTTTTTCAAACCTAAGACTTTCAAGTTGAGCATAAAGTAAAATGCAAAAGGCTTCATTATGACACTTAGGTTTATCAGCTCAGGAGCAAATTACTTTTATGGGAAAGTTGGCCTCATGATAGTTGTGGCGGCGAACGAATAATGCTTATTTGATTAAAACTCGAGGTCAAACTCAGGTTAATCGCATTTAAGTTGAATTCAAGCCCCATATATATGTATATATATATATAATTGACACGCCAAGTAGTCAATAACTTAGACAAAAAATATGTTGTATCGAAGCCTCGATAACTTCGAACTAAATAAAATGTCAACATCGTACTTTTGAATTGAATAGAGGAACAAATTTTATTTTTATCGTGTGCACAAGTTGTAAAAAGAAAAAAAATGATAAATAATGAAAAACCTTTTGCATTATTTCTTGAAGTTGTATGGTTGACAATGGGACTAATGTAACAAAGGAAGATTGCAATTTTAAATCTCAATATTTGAACCAAATTGACCAATAACATTTTAGCCAAAATAACATAGTCTATGAAGCATTGGATTTTGGCAAAATTGGTCCTTAACTTTTTGATAGCACAAATTTTCGTACCATATATTTAGTTGATGGGAAGAAAAAAAATCAAAGAACTACCACAATTTGGAGAATTACTATTTTCTGGAATAAGCCTTTTAAAAAAAAAAAAAGTGAACAAGTATTACACGATATAATGCCTCTTAAAAGCACAATATACAACAAGGAACCTTTTTTTTTTCTTTTTCTAGTTTTATGGAGGCCACAGGCCCATTTCAAAGGAGAGAATCTATGAAATGCAACTCCACGGCCCAAGAGCTCCCTAAAAGTCTGTGGACAATTCCTGAAACTAGTTAAACCATGAGCTGAACTCCTTCCCATTTTCACCACATTGTCCACATTATCCAGCAAACTTGTGTATGATTTACAAAGTCGACGGTATCAGCCCAGTGAAACTGTTATTGCCCAAGTCCAAATGACTTATTAGATATTCCAAATTTACCAGTGACCTAGGAATGCTTGAGTGAAGTTGCTGCTGCTCAGAGTGATATATTTCATGGATGGGTAATTCATCCAATAGTCAGAAATTTCTCTTGATAGAGAATTCTCTCTAAGATCCAGATAATTAAGATTTTGTCTTTCATTCTTCACCTCACACAAAAAGTGAGAAATATCTCCTGAAGAGAAATTGTTGGAAAGTTCTAAATATGTCAGAGGATGAGAAATTAATTATGGTAGTAATTTGTTTGACTACAGTGCAAGTACAAACCTCTAAAATAAAATATTATATATACTGATAGTGTATACACTTAACAGTTGAATTTTAAATTCAAAATTTGTATAATTGTCATTCATCCAACGTCAACGTATGCTGATGATATATACACTGTCAGTGTAGAAAACATTAATCTAAATCTTTAACAATTTCAGAGATATTTAAACTCTTACCATGAATTGATTGTGAAAAAGGTCCATATAATTTATTGATGAGCTAAATAACCAAGGGGGAATAGTATATGAAATTCCTGTGGAGGACAAGTTCAAAACAGCAAGAATTTTTGAGACTAGAGCCATGTAGAAAATTGAGGACCCAGCTTCCAAGAACCCAAATCAAGTATCATAAATTGGGCAGGAGAATCCAACTTGCACTTACTTTTAAGATCAAGGAGTTTCAGATCCTATAAAGTTCCTTAGACTAGTCTAGTTATTTAGGTGATTCTCACTCAAGATACCTTCCATCAAGTTATTAATTCAAACTTGTTTGGATTGCTATTTTTGGAGTTTTTTAAGAAAAATTTATTGAACGATTTGATGTGTTTGAGATAAAAAAATAATTGAAAAATGTGTTTACAAAAAATGCAAAAATTTTTGAAGAAAATTGCTTTTCCAAACAAAAACCTTTTCAAGTTTGGAAAGTTGTCCAAGACTTTCAGGAAGAGTTCCAGTGAGTTTGTTTTCAGATATATCCAAGCACTCCCAGGATGACAGTTTTCCTAGATTTGATGAATTGAACCAGCCAGAGCATTGCCTCGGAGTTCTAGTACCTCTAGACTTGTGCGGTTGTACAACCACTCGGACGTAGTAAGACTATTATGACTTAGCCTAAGGACTTTTAGCTTGGTACAGTTGCCAACAGTGCTTGGAATTGGACCATTCAAATGATTACTAGTTGTATCAAGCGTAATCAAGTCCTTCAATGGGAATAGTTCACTTGGTAAAGAGGAGCTAAGATTGTTAAAGATAGATCAAGATACCGAAGGCTGGAAATGTTGGCAATTTTACCTGGGATATAACCTTGAAAGTCATTGTCGCTGAGAACAAGTGAAACAAGGGAAGTTAAAGTGGATAATAGGCTTGGAAGAAAGGTAGAGAAGTCGTCATCGGATAGATCCAAAGATGCAAGGGAACTCCAATTCCAAATTCCATCCAAGCGGCCTTCGAATTGGTTGTTCCCAAGGTTGAAAGAAATGAGATTATTAAGACGACTAATCCCTTCTGGTAACGAGCCATTCAAACCGTTCTCAGAAAGATCCAAGTGATGGAGAGAAGTCAAGTTCCAATGACCTCTGATCCATGGAAATTCAAACGAATTCCCACGTAAATCAAGAGAAACAAGTGTAGTAAGACCAAAAATCCATCTAGGAATGAAGTGTCCAAAACCATTTCCAGAAACATTTAGGATAGTAAGAGAAGAAAAGTTGGCGTGGACGAGTTGAGAAATTTGAACAAGGTGGCAATAGGACAAGGATTACTTTACCAAAGAAGGGATCATACTAGTCTAGCCAATTAGATGCTGCACTAAGGTCCACATGAGTCATATCTAGGTGCTTTAGATTATAAAGACCTACCAACCATTGCAAGTTATCAGCTTGGAGATCAGACGCATTGCCTTCTATGCTGAAAGTGCATAAACTTGATAGGTTAGGTTTCCAATCTGATAGGGAATCATTCCTTGAAATCCAGCTCCAAATAAATCTAGATACCTTAGACTTTTGAAAGACCCTAAAAACTTGGAATCGGAATTCCGCTGAAATCATTTTGACTTAGATCAAGTTAATGCAAATGAGTCAAATTTCGTAAAGAATAATTGATTTTACCACTAAATGCTGATTTAGGATCACCCCCATCACGACCGTGCTCAAACTCAGAGAAAAACTCAGCATCAATGAGATCATCAACTATAGGGGCAGAATTTTGAAGGTGAAGTTGAATCACATGGCCACTTTTTTTGCTACAATTAACTCCTTCCATTGGCAGCAATCAACATTGTCGATCCAAGACAAGAGTCGACAGGAAGGATCTTTCAAGTCTTTCTTGAAGTCCATACGAGCTTGTTTCTCACTTGGAAAGCAAGTCTCACTTGTGTTGGCAAAACAATAATTAGCTCAAATTTGATAGAGGATTATTTGCCAAATTTATTTGCTTACATCATCATTACAATTTCCAACACACCTTTTTATCTTTCTAATTACCTTTTTATCTCACATACATCACATCACAAAAAGTGATACAGTAAAAATATCTCAAATAATTTATAATACAAACAGAGCCAATATTTGGTTTGCATCATAAACACATTTTTCAATTCATTTTTTTTTATTTTCAATTACCTTTTTATCTCACATATATCACATCAGAAAAAGTGTTATAGTAATTATTTCAAATAATATGCTATCCAAACACGCTCAAAGTAAACTTGTGGTGATGAGTAAGAACACAAAGAAAGGCTTGATCCACCATGATCGTGTGAAATTTTGGAAGAAATACACTGCACATCAACAATGTTGCAATGGAGGATATATAAGGCGGGCAGTGCCCTTCAAATTTTTGAAGCCTCAGAAAGACTTTGACTTGTCTACCAACGTGAGGCTTGGAAGGCATAAACCACTTTCCCAGTGGAGAATTTTGACACGGTATAATGTCTCAAGAATCACATTATGCAACAAGCATGGAGAAGTTTTAAGAGTGTACTAGGGTGCTACACATTAACAATTCCTTCTCTGCAGCAACCAAACTGATAATCGACCCAGGACAAGAATCAAGGATCTTTTAAGTTTAGCTTGAAATGTATATGAGCATTTTTTTTTTCTTTTCCTTTTTCACCAGAAAGAAAAGTGCATCAAATATCTATGCTCATCAGCATCAAATTGCTCCACAAATCTCTTGTATAGGGCTGCTAGAGATTCAAACTGCTCGTAAGCAGGCTCGTTCGTGAATTCGAGTTGAGCACGAGTCTTAGAGAAGGAGTCTCAAGTGCTTCATGAGCTTATTCGAGTAATTAGGCTTTTTTAATTTCAAATAATATATATGTGAAATTACATTTATTGGTATGAAAATTGTAAAATTTATCACTAAAAAATCGAACTCGAGTTCAAGTAGCTCATAACTATTTTCGAGCTCATTCGAGTTGAACTCGAGCTCATATACTACTTGTTCGAGTCGAGATCAAACTTTAAAATCTTTACTAGATCGAGTTCGAGTTTGAAACCGTCAATGATCAAGTTCGAATTCGAGCATGTACTACTCCAATTTGATTCGGCTTGAATGCACACCGACTTTTATATGTTTTCTAAACTCCTTTATATGGAATGGAATAAACTTAACGCCAAGCCGAACATCAACATCAATGACTAGAAACTTTTTTTTTTCAGATGGATGGAGGGCCTTAGCCCGTAATAGAGGAACAAATCAAGAAAATGAAACTTCACTTACATCTTGGCCCAGGAGCTTCCCAAGTATGAGAGCAATTCCTGAAACTACTTAAACCATGATCTAAACTCCTTCCCATTTTTCCCATATGATCTGTACACCTATGAAGCAAGCTTGTGCATGTTTTAAAAAGTCGAAGGCATCGGACTAGTGAGGCTGTTATTGCCCAAGTCCAAATGATACAGATCTTCTAAATTTTCCAGTTACCTTGGAATGTTTCTAATGAAGTTATACCCAAAAACCCAAAAAAAAATTTTGTTATTGCTGTGCAAACTCACGTATCTTATATTTGGATAATTCATCCAACAATCAGGAATTTCTGATAGAGAATTTTCCTAAGATCCAGATATTTAAGAACTTGTCTCTCATTTTTCACTTCGCAAAAAAAAGTAAGAGATACCTCTTAAAAACAAATATGACAGTGATTGAGAAATTAATCGTGGTAGTGAGCCATTGAATCTGTTTGATCAAAGTGTATACATAAGTCTTTTAACAATTTCAAATATATTTGAACTCTTATCAAGAATTTGATTGTGAGAAAGAGCCACGATTCCTGTAGAGAAGAAGTTTAACATCTAAAGTCGTTTTGTGACTAAAGCTATGTAGGAAATTCAGAACCCAACTTCCAGAAAGCCAATCCAAGTTCTTTAGATTGGGTGACTAGAGCCATGTAGGGAATTGAGCATCCAACTTCCAGGAAGCCAATTCAAGTTCTTTAGATTGGGCACGAGGCATCCAACTTGCACTTACTTTTAAGGTCAAGGAGTTTCCAGACGCATCAAAATACCTTAACCTGTTAGATTATCAAGTAGGCTCTCACTCACAATGTCTTCCATTAAATTATCGAAGATATAAAGGACTTCAAGTTTGGAACGCTGCCAAGACTTTCATGAAAAGGTTCAGGAAGCATCTTTTCAAATATGAGTTTTTCTAATGGGTACCTATGAATACTCTCATTAACATACCTATGTTCTCCACAACTTACCATGCATATACACGCACTAACAATTACTACTTTTTTTGTATTTATGCACTTTTTCTAATTAATTCCCTTATATTTATACAATTTTCCTAATTAATTGTATATTTCTAAAAATCTAGCACCTGAAATACATTTTAACGATAGAGCACCCGTCAGACATATCATTCAGATATATCCAATAACACCGAGGATGGTAATTTTCCTAAATTTGATGGAACTGAACTAGATTGAGCTTTGCCTATGAGTCCTAATCCGTTTATTTTAACCATTTAAACACTAAGGTTGAAGTGCTATCTACATCACCACTCGAGTTCTTTCTTTTCTTTTCTTTTGTCATTCACATCAAAAATAGATTGGACAGAAACTAAACAGGGGAGAGCACACAAAACCCCATCATCACAAGTTGTCCCAGTACTTGGTAGATAACACAGTATGATATGAAGGTCAACCAGATTCCCTAAGATTGTAACAATTCACCCTCACAAAAGGAAAAAAAATTGTAACATTTCTGGAGTTGGCTGGCCACTTTGGCTTCTCTACTGAAAAAAAAAGGGAAAATAGAAAGCCAACAAAGTTTTTTTTTTTTTTTTTTGTTATTAACATCTTTCTGGTATCTGGAAAATGACAACAGCCATCATGAGAGGGACCCCAAGAATAATTGCTCACAATGAGTAGACACAACTCACGGGTGGTTTAAAATATTGTGAGAGTACCTATGACTAGTCACAACTTGAAAAAAAAAAGAAAAGAAAGAAAGTGATTAGTTTAATTTATGTCAAAAGTGATTTCCTGTAAATTATTTTTGGGAATTAAAAGTTTGTCAAATAAAAAATGTTCTATAGTAAATTTTGTTACATCAGATTTAGTAGGTGCATTATTATGACTATTAGATGCTACTATGCTGATTAGTTAAGTTTAAACTTGAATGAAACATAAAGAAAAGTTGTTGTCTTGTCGAGTTAGTTTGGCATTCATATTTCCACAGTATTTTAACTTGCAAGTTTGGCCCACTAATCAATTAACTTGAACTTCTGGTTCTAGATTCGGAGTACCAAATGAGTCAAAAGAGAAGTTCTAATTAATTCTTTGAGTACCCTTTGCTTTTTGGATTACAAAATTGTTCCTCCATTTTTTGTCCTGTACGGAATTTTGTGTTCATCCCAAGTAAATATTGAAAACAAATAAATGATATTTTAGAGCATGTTTGGATTGCATGACTTTACGAGATTTTGGAGAAAAATTACTGTAGCACTTTTTTGTAGGTAAAAAGGTGATGATGTATGTGAGATAAAAATGGTGGTTGAAAATTTTGAGAAGGAATATTCTCACGATAACTTAAAAAAAAATTTCTGCAAAAAAATGCAATTCAAATAAGGTCTTACTTTTTACTTAGTAGAAAAGATTACTATTTGAATTATGATTTTTTTTTTTACTTCCCACATTTCTTCACATCCTTTCTATCCTTCAACTGGTAGGCTCAAGAACTATTTGAATTATAGCTTAACTACAAGTAGCTTGATATTTTCCTTGTTTTTTTGTATGTCAATTTCAAATCAAGAATTGCCGTCAAACTAACAACAATCACAAACAAGTATGTTCACTCTATTCTGTTTGCATATGGGAAAAAAAAATCTTCTGATAATATATGATCTTCTTGTTGAAATTTCTTCCTGATTGTGGTCCTATATATGCAATACATTTTTATTGAAATTGAAGGTTGTTCGTCGAATTTATAGGCAATTCTAGTTTTTTTCAAATGAGCACGAGTCTAAAAATTTGATATCATTGCACTTTATTTATAGCTTAATTATTAGCACAGGATTAAGATAAGAATAGACGAAGATGATAGAGAGCTGTCTCCAAAACATTTATGATGAAAGTTATCTTTAAAGAAATTTGTAAAGTGATCTATAGACAGGTGGCCTAGATCCTTAATGGTGAATTTAAAATCATTAAATCCACAATAAGAGGGCTGCACAACTGTTGCGAAAAGGTTTACCAAATGGGCAATTGGGGGTATTTTTAAAATATTTTACGGTAACAATTTGGATGAAAAATTTTTACTGTATTTTTAATGGTGTTTTTGAAAATATATTTCGAAACATTTTTAAAATTAAAATTTTAATGAAACATTTTAAATTTTATAAAATCTTATAACCACTCGTCACTATCCCACCCTCCCTCTATCCACCCTTTTCCGCCACCCCCTCCCACCTTTTCTGGTCGCGGGTCGCAACTAGAAAATGGTCGCCGCCCGCAACTAGAGAGCAGGAGAGGGGGCCGGTGAAAGAGACGTGGGGAGGAAGGAGGAGGGGAGGAAGAAAGAGAGGAGAAAGGGGAGGGGAAGAGGGAGAAGGAGAAAGAAGAAGGGAGGAGAGAGGGGGAAGGGCGGGTGGTGGTGTGTTTTGGTAGTCGGTAGTAGGGGTGCTGGTGTATTTTTTTTTTTGTATATTTGGAGTTGTTTTTTATGTATTGTATAGATGTGGTGTTTTTTAGTTGTTTTTATTTATGTATTACATAATATTACATATGAAAAACTTGTGTCTTAAAAATTGAGAAA